ATCCTCCGATTGGTCTAATGGTATCCTACTTGTTTAATAATCTTCAAGCCCGTATAAATTAGATTTCTTGCCATTAATTTATGTTTCGATACAAAAGGAGTGAAAGTTTCAGGGGTAACAAGCAAGGTGATGTGACGTCGTCGATACGTCCTTGGTGTTGGAAATTGTTCATATCTGCCACACATCAACAACCCTTCTTTTAAAAACTTCTTTGTATTAAAAAAGTTTTTTATTCAATTGCTTAACTTTTTTTTTTAAATAAGATGGCGATCATTCTTTTAACTCATTATACTTCCATAAATTCAAGTCAAGAATTTTCGAAGAAAAAAAGAAAAGAAAAAAAAAGTATTTTAGTTAATCACGTAACTTTGTTTCAAACTCTTTCCATTACTTTCATAATAATTAGGTGTGAAGTTAATTAATGACTCAACTTTTAAATCTGCATACAGAAATAATTTTATTTATCAAGCCTGTTTCATGCCGAGGAAGATGAAAAAAAAAATATTCCTCATTATTATTGAACGTGAAAATATTAAAATGTTGAGAGGTTATATTTATTATTATAAATAGCTTTTGAAACTGTAATGGACTTTATAATATTATGAAATTCATATCCATTAAAAGCATCAGTTTATGGGAATATATTATGATTCTCATTAAATATTCAACTTTTCAATTACTTCTTTTTTTTGGTGTTGAATTTTCCTCAAACAGAAAGATAAATTAATAGATGAGGTACAACATTGCTAAAGCAAGGTTTTTATTTCATCACTTAACAACAAATTATATTTTATTTATAGACTAATCGATAGTCATGTCGTTTTACTTATTTAGTATTTATTATTTAATTACAAAACTTTAAAAAAAAAATAAGATTTCCTTTAAGAGGCTGTAAAATTATTAACCTTCAACGGAGTTAAAGGTTATAATTATATTGTTATCCTAATCGTGTCTTTGGCCTTTATTCAAAAAATAGACCTTCCTTTTACGTTCACTATCATTGTGCTCATATTATCTTAATAAAAAAGATAAGCCTATAAATAAATACACTTATCGATCACTTTATGTATCGATTTTCAGATTATGCAAAGAGTTCAATCATATTGAAATCTCAAGCCAGTATAGTTTCGCTAAAAAAAGAAAACTACCACAAAAACTCAGGAAATTAACTGGTTTGACATTTTTTTTTTTTTTTTTCAAAATCGATGTTCTATCTCATCAAAATTAAATGTTTCTTTTGTTTTTTTTAATTTATTTATTTAGAAATATAATAGTCTGTCATGTGGACAATAATTATAGTGATATATGAGCACATTCACACCATACATGCAGAAAATATAAAATTAACAAAATTAAAATAATAATCAAAAACTATGTACAATAAAAAAAATAAAATAACCTAAACATAAGTAAATTAAAAACATAAAAACACAGTCAGACCTATATACAATATATACAATCAGGCAGGGAACCCCAGATGTTTTTAAATATATAAATTTATACACATGCATATATTATAAGGATTATCAACTTATTTCTATAACCTCCTTGAAAATATTTCTGTAAGGGACATTTTCAGCCATATAAGGATTTTTTCAGCCATTTTGAATCCTGAAACTCTCCACAACTACATTCAAAAAGATATCGGTTGAAATTCATTTATCTATAAATTAATTTTTGTACGTTCGGATTTTTTTTTTTTTTTTCCTGCAAACAAACGAAAACCACTTCATACTTATAAAATATTATTATATTTATATCAAAGTAGTTTTTTTTAGGGTGGAATAACCTTCATTCTTTGTTCAGTTCTAATACGGTTCAATCTTTTTTCTTTCTTTGTATTTAAGTTATATTGTTCTACCGCAGAATTTCATTTTCTCGAAACAATCCTATTGTTCATTCTTTTGAAACAATTTGAAAAAAAAAAAAAAAAGATCTATCGTTTATTCGCTATAGGAGTTTCTTCTCCAGTTGTCAATGCCCAGCCGCTGTGAAAATTCTATTGTTGCTTTCCTTTTACCATCTATTTCATCTTCCTGGGACAGATGAAATAACTTTTTATAAAAAATTTGCCGTTAAATAGGAACCTAAACGTTAGATATTTGTTAAGAAATAAAAATTTTGTGTTTCATCTTATAAAACAATGATATTATTGTTTGCGTTTAACAATATTAATGAAATTTTTTAACGTACTTTGAAAGAATAAATTGATACCTTGGTCGATAATTATGAGATACAACATATCATGCGAGTGTCAGTATGTGTTTTGCAAAATATTTTCTTAGCTTTTTCTATGAATATTTCTTGCGATATTTTAACTGCTACTCATTTTTGTGAATTTCATATATGGAATTATACTATTTGAATGTCACTGAAATGGAATGCACTGAACTTACATTTCAACTTTATATGAAAGAAATGTTTCTTTCTTGCCGGGAAGTCTCTCTAACATCTCCTTAGGGACTGCTCCTACAGCCCGGGACTCCATTTCAACTCTTGCTGAGTGCTTTGCTAGCATTCTTTTTTCACGAACATTTCTCTATGCAATGTCGAAGAACATGGTTCGGATATATGGATAATGAGTAATTTAATTACTTTGGATATTATCCTGAATAAATATAACACTAAATTATCATAATTATCTCTATAAAATTAGATTAGATTTTACGTCAACGCCATAAAAAAAATACATAAATATATATATGTATATATAAGATGCCTTTATCCTTCCTGAAATATATTATCAAACCGTTGTGAAATCCATAATTTCGAAAGTATGTATCTTGTGATATTTTCTTTTTAGCCTTAAGAAGTTGCTTATCCTTAATTTTATTTCATTTTAGAATTCTCTGCAATTTAAAAGTTGTTTGGGGGATTGTAATATTTTACAAACTGTAAGGCCAAGGCGAACTGGGGGAAAAAAAGAAAGGATTGTAAGGCCGAACCGAATCTGGTTTTTATTTGAAAAACCTCAAAGCAAACTAATGTGATACCCATTTGTTTTTTTATTCCAGACACAGAGAGTGTATTAAATATTGTATAATGGTCGTGGGTGTATATTGTAGTGTTAAAGGCAATAAGTTTGACGTCAACATTTTTTTCAGAGAAACCAAAGACATTTCAACGTTATCCTCATATTTATTCTGCTTTCATAAATGTATGCTCGTTATTAAATACACTCTTTGTTCATTATACTAGTTGATTTTTAACATATATTTTTTTCGCAAGTTGTGTTGGTTTATCGACAGAAACCGCAAAGAAACTATGCCTTTCTAAGGGAGGTTATAGATATACCAGCTATTTCGAAGGCCACTAGAATGGAAACGATCCGACCAAATAACGTGGAACTCTAAGCTAAGACCCGCAGAAGGTCCGCTGTCTGTATTTTTATTATTACAAACGTGAGAATTTTTCGGATTTTTTTATTTCACTTGCAATCGTACATATAATTTGTTTACAATAGTTGAAATAAATTCCTCTATGTGAATTTCGGATTTTAACTGATTTTTCAAGATTTAAGAAGGATGGTGGGAATGTAATTAAAAGAATATAACAACTTGAGATGATTGTGTTTAAACCACTCAATTTCGCTTAGGATTGGGAAGTGTGAGAATCGCTGGAAGTCTCAAAAATAAATTAAATTAATTACTTAATCTTTTTAATATTGAATCTAGATGACTAGATCTCAGATTCCACAGAGCCTTTTGCAAAACACATAACTGCAATTAATATCAGGGAAAAAATAAGCTAGGATGCAAGGAATTAAAGAATACTCATAGGAAGGATAAAGACGGGAGTACTAATAAATATTTGATTAACCATAAGTTTTAATTTTTTTTTTTACTTTCACTTACCTATATATGTAATATATAGTAACGGAAACGTTTTGGGGTACCCTGAGTCCAAATAACCAAGTCCCGAAAAATGGTCTGTGTGTGTGTATGTCAGCAGTCTAGCTCAAAAACAAAAAGTCGTACGAAGCTGATATTACGTATTTAAGATAGGTATATGCCTTAGACGTGACAGAATTTTTTTTCTTACAAGTGCCACTTTACATCAACGCTGAAACACATTTTCACAATTTTCTCAAAAAAGGCTCTAGCGATTTTGATTAAACTCGGTATGTCATTGTATAATTAAGTGGTGTTTAATATCAATCAGGTCTTATTCCCATTGATGTTACTTTAGAGGGCTTAAATGCCCAGTGTTCATATACGTCTTCCTCTAAAGTACCTTTAATATGGTTTATTTTAAAAATTAATCATCTCACATTATTCAGAGTTACGAAAAAATGCTAAATATAACTTTAGAAAGAATTTGATAAGTTAATAAAGGAGAAAAAAATAAAAATGCTTATCCAGGTCGAAAATGAATACCCAGAAATACCGGTCAGAAAGTATACGTATAATATATCGTTGGAACGCGGATAATTCTAGAAAAAACAATATCTAATATAGAAAGTTGTAGAAGGTAACGGAGAGCGGCAAAAAAAATTATAAATAATAATTTTTGAAAACTAATATTATTTAACGTAAATCACATGTTTTAAAGGAAATTTACTTAATAAATGTAAACCTTTAAAATATATATATATTTTTTTTAAACACTTTATTCAGAAATATTACAATTTGTCACAGTTAAGGACACTTATAATAGAGTTCAGAGAGTACAATTAAAATATTTTTAAGTTTGAAAAACGTTTTTAAAATCCACCTAACCAAGGCCATGAATGACATTGTTTAAAAAAACTATTTCATTGTTCTTGTGTGAAAGAAGAAGTAAAACATAAAATCATTTCATGGATGTACGAAGCATATGTTTATAACCTTAAATACATTTATTGTAATTTAATAACCTAGATCCGATATTATATTTAAATAATTAGGTATCAACTAGACTATTTCATTCCAGTTATATGCATTCAGCTCTGTAGAATCTGTTTTGATTCTCTTGGGTACTATTGAGGCATTGTTGTGTAGAGGCTTATCTTAACCTCCTTACTATAATATCATGAGGTATTGAATGATCATCTTCTGTGAGCAACTCTTTATTGGTCTTTCTCCTACTTTCTCTTGCTCCTTTGTTGACACTCGACAAAAGTCAAATCTGCCGGCTGGAAGGTCCGCTACACATTTGTTCTGGGTTGGAGAGAAAGCGAAGATGAGTTGCGAGCCATTGTGTAACTGGTCCGAAGTTGGGGGCGCCGGACCTGACCCGCCCACTTTCGCCAGCCACATCCTCAGGGACAGTCCGATGCTCTTCCCATCTTGTGTAATAGTTCCGATTTAATAGCGTTCTCCATCACCACCTCGCACGGCCAAACCTCACAGTTACGTAATTCTCTTAACCTTTTACCATTATATCCCGAGTCCAACGGCTTATCTGAGTATCATATCTTTCATAGGATATGACTTGTTATGGTCACTGCTGTACAGATGTTCAAATGAAAATATCATTTATTACTTTTTGTTTTATTTTATTTATTTTCCATTAAATTAAATTGCATCAAGCAAATGTGTTGGAGTTTATTCTGTCTTCTTGAATTCTTGATATTTTCTTAACTTGTCAGCAGAAGATCTCCAGGCCACTGCCTTTTTAGTCGTCTTTGGGGCTCACCAGGTAACAGAGAGGAAGATAGAGATAGAACGAGTGGATTTGGATGATTGAGAGTAAAAGAATGAAATGTTGTGTATGTAGGATTTTACTTGTGGTATGTTCATGTCTGTGTGTATGGTGTGATTTGAAATAAACCAAGGAGCATTGACGATTTAACGGAGTATTTTGGATTGTGTGGCTTGAATTTTGTTTATGTGTGCGTGTTTTGCGGAACCCCAAAGTTCTGCTCCATATGTTCAAATAGGTCTTAGTATAGTGGGGTAGATTAGTCGCTTGTTTAGTAAGTTGAGTGGAGATCTGTAGTCCAAAAGATGTGACAGTTGTTTGTATCGTCTGGTCAGTTCTTGTTATTACTTAACTCGAAAAAATGAAAGTAGATAACTTACACTATATATTATACTCTATATTTTCCGGCTCTCGGGAGCGATGGATTTTGATAAATGAGGTATCAAATAAAACAGTATCATAAATATCAATTTCGAAACTATCACTGAAAAAAATGGAAGATTTCAAAACTGTGATGGTTTCAAAAGTCGACAGATCAAGATGGTATAAATCTGTACCCCGGAGGTAAACAACAACATGTACATTTTTGTATTTGTTCAGGGAATCATTTTACCATAACTTTGAGCTATTAAAATTTGTTTCTTCGTTATTAAATTATTTGATGAAAAGTGCACATGGTGTCCTTTGCCTCCGTGGTACAGAAATTATGTTTCAAAGATTTCTACGCTTCATCAATACTCGATATGATTCCAAAGGAGCTCTATGTAAGCCCAAAAACGTGCCGTTTTCGAGATGAATCGTAATTCTCGCCGAAAGCCTCTTAGATGCTACGATCAAACTATCATTAGTTTGACAGTTTTCTGCGAACTAAAAACCTATTATAAAAGGTAAATGGAGAGGAATTGATCCTTTGGTCACTTCGGATAATGTAGCTAGAAACTTTTTGACATTTTTAATTAACTAGATCGAAAAATAACTGCTGTGATTTAGGTAAAATCAAACTATCACCTCCAGATGAATAAATGCCATTTCCCACACACATTTTTTAGTCTAAAATCTTTATTTTGTATTAGGAGAGTATTAGGTAAAAGGAGCTCAACACATGTGTAATTAAATGAACAGCTGTGTAATTAGTGCTAATTACAGAGCTGATAAGAGAGCTCCTGTAACTTCTTACTGTCTTAATACTAAATTAAAATATGACATATACCAAATACTTTTTTATATAAAAGAGAAATAAAAAATATATACAGGCATAATTAGAACAAATATTAGCAGGATATTAAATAAATATAAACATTTGTTGGACGGAGACAGGATAACATTGCATAGCTCATCTTATAGTGAACATTTAAATCTTTTTATTAATAATGATCAGATCCCCCAGTATTTGTTGATACCGACTAATTTCAAATATACGAAACTATTAATACACATCCGACTCTCGGGAAGACATATGATCAAGATATCTGTTAATAATGAAATTCTGAAAATTACTTCACAACTTGAGTTTAAAATGTGCAACACTAAAGCAAACCAAAATACTTCATCATATATTATTTAAATGTCCAATTTACAGTAGTTTAAGGTTAAGAATTTACCTGGTTAATATGGAAAATTTTGATGGGATTAAAATAATTAAGCCAACCAGTGCAGAAGATATGAGAAAGTTATATTTTTTTATCTCAATTATATCAAATTATAGAGAATTGGTAGGGTAATCTGGAATATTGTCCTCTACATATTATGGCAAAAATTCCATATTGTACATCGGCATGTAATCTGTCCGGGTATTTTTCTTATTTGTTCTCATAGGTATAGGGGTAATCTTTTGATTTAATTTTAAAACATAGTTTAATATTAATTTTTTTTTTAAATGTGTATTTATTTTGTATATTTTTGACAATTTTAATTTTATATTAATTTGATAATTGGAACTATTTTAACTGTATGATTTTTACCGAATATGATTTTTAATTTATGCTTAAGAGTGTTGTAATATCTGTTATGTAGTATAAAAAGGAATTTGTCTTTCCATAAGTATAGTAATGTTTATTATTTTGTGATTGACTCCATTTGTATGGAGGTCTTCCCTTAAAAGAAATAAAGGTTGAATTGTATTGAATTGAAAATATATACAGGCATGGCTTCTTTACTACATAAGTATAGAGTCCCATTAATAGACTTCTATACTCGAAGTAAGAATGCTTCATTCCACGGTTCCTCTGTACAAAAAAAAAATACATCTTAAGCGAGTACAGTAATGGATTAGTATTAGTTCAGGAATAAGTCTTATTTCTGAATTATTAAACCGGAGGGATATTTTTCTGTGTGACACGTTAATTATTTATCGAATAAATTGTTACTTTAACAGTCGTGGTAAGATATGAAGGCTTTACCAATTGTGTTGAATAGAATATCTTGATAATATTATATTCCATACACGAATTAACATGTTTCCCTGCTGTTGCTTGTACGTCAAATGCTTTAGGTAGAAGTATAGCTGTCTAATGGCATAGTTCTCGCTCGGGTATATATTAGTATTTATTTATTACTCTGCTTTATAATTAAATTTGGTTTTTTATGGCATGACAGGCGCGTCCTACTGAACAAGATACAAACAGCTTACATGCACAACAGCCCTTCATAACTTTGTGAATTACGAGCAGCAACATCTCATTCTGAACTTAATGGGGGAGTGTTGGCGGTATGGAGGGCACTTGTTCTGTATAAATAGTAACATGGTGGCCTTCGTGGGAGCGGAAAATGCAAATGCAGGAGGTATAATAGGAGACGAGGTGGCGCCCATCTTTTATTCATAGACACCATTATTCCCTCATAAACATCCGCCGGTCAGTTAGCCAACCGTAAAAACGAACTTAAACTTTAGACGTAATGCGGGTATCAGTTCGTTATTGTTTCCATTGATGGGGATTAGTAGAGGATCGATATGAAGAAACAATATACTATAATTCCTTCGAAAAGGAATCTAAAAGTAAAGGAGATAAGCAATGTTTACGTATACATTACACCCTGTGATTTTATGTATTAATCCTTTACCATCGTAATATCTGTATATCACATATGAGTCGCTTATTTCCAAAGTGAATCGATTAATCGATTTTTTATGAAAATCGAGGTAAGTATCGATTCTCATCTAAATACACACAGTGAATCCGATGATATATTTTTTTTTTAAGAACGAACCTAAATACTTGAATAGAAGTCTTGTAGATAGAAGGTTATTTCCCTTTTTTTTCAAGGAATGTTATGAAACTTGAATTTCTTAAGTATTTAAAAAAAAAAATCATCAAAAGCTTTTTTTCACCGTATTGTTCAAATGGAAGTTAAAATTAAATTTATTTGATTGTACCATTATTATTAGCAAATTTTTTACAACCACCCCTCCCCCACCGGATCATATACCATTATGGCATATGGCATTCGGTAAAATTGATACCTATTAACAAATATTTATTAAAAATATAGTTAAATATAGTATATGTATTAAAATTTTTATTTAATAAATTTATATATTTAATTAATTTTATTTAAATGAATTAAAATACTTTATTGATATATTAATTTTATTTATATATAATATATTTAGATATTTTTTAAACAATGTAATAGGCGTTTCGTACAGCAAGTCCAGCATTACCGCAAAACTTGGCGGTTTTGCCTAACACTAGCGCCTTGCTATAAGATTGTAATATTCATTGTTATTGAAAATAAAGAGTCACCCTTTTGCTTTGTATGCAACCTCTTGTATTGAATTAACAATCAACCTACGAATTAGTGCATATGATATAAAAGATGTTTAGCCTATCAAACTTTTAAAGAAAAAAAAATCTTTTTGTTAATCCTCTTAACAAAAAAAAAAATATATATATATATATATATATATATATATATATATATTTGTATTTGATATAGATGGTTAATCATTAAAATAACCATCTGCAAAAATTATAAATTTAAGAATTTTAAACGAGAACTGTAAAAAATGGTTGAAGGTCATATAAGGAAGGAGGATGGCAAGATGACTTAACTATGATTTGAGCTTTTTAAAACAGTTTTTTTTCTGTGTTTTTTTAAGGTTTATGTGATATATTTTCATTTTTTGTTTCATTTATCAACATATTCCATATGAATATGATGCTCCATGCAAATACAAGCATATTGTTGAAAAAAATAATTAATTGAAGAAATTGAGTAGTTTGAATTTTGCTTACAATTTCGACTAATTAAACTCATTTTTAACAGGTAAAATGGGTGCAACAACAACATGAAAAAAGGAGATTGAAAAGGGATGTATTCTCTGGAGGATATCCAGCCAGCTTTGCCGATGATTTTAGCTCATTATTTTCTAGTGCCACCAGGTCTGGTCAGGTGTATCCTGATCCACTGTATAAAGAAGAATGGTATCTGGTGAGTCTGTTATTTATATTTTCATTAAGATTCATTTTATTGTGAATATTTGCTATATCCAATTTATTTTTAATATATTAATGTATTTATATTTATATATATATACTTATAGTTATATTTATATAATTTTAGAATAATTATTATTTAATGAAAAAATATAATTTTTTGTCATACCTTTGAGCCCTAATTCAATAAATAGTGAATGAATGAAAAAAGGTGTATTTTGTAATATTTTTATAATAGAACAGATACTATTTTTTAGAATTTCCATGCTTTCACTTTATAGTGTTGAACCTTTTTTTTCTGAATTATTCAAATTTTATGCTCTTTCTAAAATTAAAAAAAAAAAAATCAATTGAAACCAAACTATAGTGACCATTACACATAGCTAGAATCTACTTATATTTTAAATGTCAGAATTCTGAAAGTAGGAAGTACAGTACCACAAATATACAAAAAAAATTATTGGATTGCTGTTAGATTAAATAAAATTTAAAATTCTTAAAATCAATCTTTAAAAAAAAATTCTTTGATTTGTTAACTTTTATCGTTGATGTTTATTTTATATAAATATGTCTACACATTTTTTTCTTTTTGGCCAAGTAAAAAATTGGTATTAATTAGAATTCGCAAAATGTTTTCAACCATTTATTAATATTTAAATCATTAAAACAGACTTTTAATTTATTGAGATACAATAGGAAAAATAGTCTTAACAATCATTTCAATCATGGTTTACTTCATATCCCTCTCTTCAGAATCGGGTTGCAAGTTTCACAAATAAAAATAAATAATTGACCCATTGGCAAAAATAAATAAATAAAGGAAATGAAAATGAAGAGGGGGACAAAGTTTCCCTGAAACGTCCAAATAAAGAAAATACTCTCAATTGAGAGTGTCTATTTTGTTTAACTAGACCTATGGGAAACCAGTGAGAAATAATAATTAATAATATAAATCAAAATAATAAATTAATCAATAAAATAAGTAACAATATTATAACTGATTGAAAATAAGTGATCATTCTAAAATCCTCTCATCTTTCACTTCTAATTTCGAAATAAATATTATTTTGGTACATTAAAAAATTACATATATAAAGTATAATATATATATATATATATATATATATACATATTATTCTCTAATAATAATGTTTTCAATTAATTTTACAGAATGGTGGAGCTAAAGATGGTTATGACATGAACGTCCGGCCTGCATGGTCCAAGGGATACACTGGTAAAGGAGTTGTCGTGTCCATTCTTGACGATGGCATTCAAACTAATCATCCTGACTTGGCTGAAAATTATGTTAGTACTCCTTAGTTTTACGGACAAAATTTTATGTCCACAAACATTGTACCCAACATTATATTTGGATTAATATAAATATTAGAATCAATAATTATAATACATTTAAGGATGTTCACTAAAAAAATCAATAAAACTATTTATTTAGTATGTCTTCATGATTTTTTTTAATGATTATGTCTAGGTTTATTTAAAACTATTTGTCAACCATAAACGAAATCAGTCTTCCCCCCCCCCAAAAAAAAGGTAATACACTGAAAAATAGGAGAAAGCTGGTCTCTGTTTATCTCTATTTGAGTTAATACTACTAAGGCCACAGTTGGAGCAGCTCTCTTTTACTTCTCTCAGAAGTAACTTCTCTTTGGGAGTTTTATTTTATATTGTGACTGGCTGGTGAAATAAAACTGACCTTTCTCATTCATGAAAAGATAAAGTTGGTAACCTGCATAATAATCGGTCCTTCCTTCTTTAGTTACAGTATTTGAGATTGTTAAATCAAATTAATAGACCCAAATGGAATTCAAAACTAATTCTTAATTGTACTTTGTGATATTCATAAAATATACTTATGTATTTCTTATATGTTTCTTATTTATTCCAAATCATTTTGAAGTTTCATTACAATATCAGTCATATGGTTGGTATATTTCAGGATCCTGCTGCAAGTACTGACATAAATGATAATGATGATGATCCAATGCCTAGAGACAATGGTGATAACAAACATGGAACCAGATGTGCTGGAGAAGTCGCTGCAGTAGCTTATAATAGTTTTTGTGGTATTGGAGTGGCTTATAATGCCAGCATTGGTGGTGAGTTAAATGAATGATAATTCTTGAATTTTTATAACAAATATTTGCTGAGTTAATTCTTTTAATGGTAAAACCTAAAATTTTATATAATGGTAAAATATAAAATACACTATAACCTAAGCAATAAAATCAGTAGGAAAATATATGTAGTCTAGCAATTTATTAATAATTTGAAGACCAATCATTCTAACTGATTGATTTTGTAAATAAATTGGTGTTTTATTATTAAATTTGAAAATATTTAATGAATATGCATTAATGAATGAACCATATGCACAAAAAAGGTCATAATTTTTTATTAAATCTAACTCTATTTGATATGATAGGAATACTATTTGATTAATAAGAATAAAAACCACACATTGCATGATTATTTTTTTGTTTTTTAATAGGAGTTCGAATGTTGGATGGATCTGTGAATGATGCCGTTGAAGCACGTGCACTTTCTCTCAACCCCGATCACATTGATATTTACTCAGCCTCTTGGGGTCCTGAAGATGATGGAAAGACTGTTGATGGTCCTGGACCTCTTGCACGAAGAGCTTTCATCAATGGTGTAACGACGGTTAGTTCTAATTATTTTTTCATGAATTTCTTTGAGAATCGAAGCATGTAAATGTAAAAGAGTGTTAACCTGATCAGCAAAATATTTCAGAAAATCAAGTTTCCAGGAAAATGACTTGAGTATCTCATCACCTATGATCAAGTAATATTATAAATTATATGTAATTCATTACATAAACTTGTGATCTGCATACAAAAAAATTTTATTTCAATTATTCTGAAGGCACTTGGACCCTTTTGCATTTTGACACTTCAATTATATAAAAATGAAAAATATGAAGTTGAAACTTGTCATCTGGCTTTGAATTTTTTGTCTAGTTATAATCAATAAAATTTCATGAGATCAACAGTGTAAAATTGAGAGACCCACAATTTGGTTTATTCATGATCCAATTTTAAGGTTCTTAAATTACAGTATTATTATTACAGGGACCTATATTAGGAGAACGACATGATATATTGCTGTAAGAATGTTTTCTTTGAATAGCTGCAAGTTTCATTCTACTTGGCTTATCATACTTTTGCAAGCATGAAAGATCAGTGTTGGTAGTTTTATGTACGAAATAGCTCAATATAGATCCATTAGACCAAAATTCGTAGCCTAACAAATAAAATATTCTTACTTCAAGACATTGTGTTATTCTCTAAGATCATTTGTTTGTTAAAAGTTTTTTGGATAAAGTAGTGTTTTTTTTGTTGTTGTTTTTTTTTTTTTTGTTGTTTAATGTTAAAATTGTTTGAATATGTTCCAAACGGTTTGAAAGATTTCAAATTATTTAGTTAATTAATTGGTATTATTTATCATTGGCTCACAACATTTTTTTAATATATTTTCTTTCATTAAAAGATGTATCTATGAACAATATAAATAGAACAAGTTTCAACTCAAAAGCAGTAAAAATTACACATGTGTTATTTCTGAAATGACCGATTTATTTCTTCTAGAAAAAAAAAATGTTAGACGACTTCAAATTTGTTTGTTCAGTGGTAACTTAACTATTATTATTGATTTGTTTGTTTAAGTAGTTGCTCACAGCTATTTTTCTCTAATAATAATTATTATTATGGAACATAAATTCTTTTATTAAGAAAAAAATTGTTTTAACTGTTTTATTACTCATTTTTCAGGGTCGTAAAGGAAAAGGCTCAATTTTTGTATGGGCCAGTGGTAATGGTGGGCGTCATACAGATTCTTGTAATTGTGATGGTTATACAAACAGTATCTTTACTCTTTCTATTTCAAGTGCTACTCAAGGAGGGTACGTTATCTTATTTATAGGAGCAACTTAATCAAATAATTATAATTTACGCCACAGATTGATTTATTACATAGTATTAACTATTATCTAGCTTATTGAAAGTTTTGACTTATCATTAATTTCAGATATAAACCATGGTATTTAGAAGAATGTTCCTCGACACTGGCCACAACATACAGCTCAGGTACTCCTGGTCATGATAAGAGTATTGCAACTGTGGATATGGATGGAAAACTCAGGCCTGATCACATTTGTACAGTAGAGCATACTGGTAAAAAAAAAAAATACTAATAATTAACTTAATTTTTTCCTTGAATGTATGTTTTGTGTCAATACCTACAACCACATTACAAATTTATCATTCAGATAAATCAGCATTATGTGTACTTTTTTGTAAACCATTACGCTTAAGTTGTACTCCTTCCTTATTGCTTTAACATAATTCTTCCATAAATACTTTAACCCAATCAGTGCCAAAACTGCAGTAGCGTCCACCCAGTAAACACAAGCTAGGTGCAACTGTTATATCAATAGCATTATATGGTGTAACTATATCTTGTCTCTATTTGAAATTGTTATTAATATTAATTTTATTGTTATTAATAACCCAAAGTGATACAAATCTTTGGTTTTTATTTATTTAGTAATATTCATGCATTAAACAGAGAAATTAATTTTTTGTTAAATATATCTATTTTTGAAGTAAAAAAAAATTTATATTTCAAAAATGTTATAGTATTATTAGTGGATATTATTTCTTCTCTTTTATAATTTCAGGAACATCTGCATCAGCGCCGCTCGCCTCAGGGCTTTGTGCTTTGGCCTTGGAGGCTAACCCAGAACTGACATGGAGGGATATGCAGCACATTGTTGTGATGACTTCTAACCCTGAACCGCTCATGAAAGAAGCTGGTTGGATCACTAATGGTGTCAACCGTAAAGGTAATCCTTATTTATAGAACAATTAAAATTTATTTTAATTCATCATGAACAGATTATAATAATTTCCGAATTTTCATTATTACTTTACTAATACTAACTTTTATCTAATATTCCTATTACAGTAAGTCATAAATTTGGTTATGGCCTTATGGATGGAGGGGCAATGGTTAGCCTAGCCGAACAGTGGACTAGCGTTCCCCCACAGCATATCTGTAAATCTCAGGAAGTGCGAGAAGACAGGTAGGGAGGTCGCAATTAACCATCTTTATTAAAATTAAATTATTAAATAATCTTTAAACCATTTATAGACTGTTATTTTATAGGAATATATATTTTAAGACAGTCAAAGCATATAAAAATCTCTTAGCTTCCTGACATATCATTTTCATTTTATTGCTTACCCTCCATTTTCAACAACAAATGTTTGATACGATTACCATTTAAGCATGCTGACTTTAACTGCTAATTGACTTAATTTATTAAACTATTTTTTGATTATCTTTCAAATAGGCAAATTGATCAATCTTATGGCTCGATTTTAACTACTGCTGTTGATGCTAGCGGCTGCACTGGAACTGTTAATGAAGTTAAATTTGTAGAGCATGTTCAGTGTAAAATTTCTCTCAGATTTTTCCCAAGAGGTAAGTACTGGCATGAGTTATAAGTTTATTGCCTGTTTATTTAGTTTCAGTGGTATTTGTATTTATTTTTACATTGTTTAGGAAACTTGCGTATTGTTTTGACTTCACCATCTGGAACACCTTCTACTCTGCTGATGGAAAGACCGAGAGATGTTGTCAGTTCCAATTTTGATGACTGGCCTTTCTTATCAGTCCACTATTGGGGTGAAAATCCAACTGGCCGATGGACCTTACATATAATTAATGCAGGAAACAGACATGTTAACCAACCTGGTATGTAAATATCATCAGTTATCAGTAGTATTAACTTCTGGCATGTAATGAAAATTTAATTTAACGTTAAACTATTTATTTAAAATCCATAGTTCAATTTATGATATTCAAACCTATTAATTATGGTAAAAAAAAAAACAAAAAAAAAAACCTGTATCACTACAACTCATGAAGGGTCTTGGGTTCAGTACTATTTAGGGAAAGCACTGTTTCTTATGGTTAACAATTATTATAATTTAGTTTATTAAATTATAAATACATTTAATTTGAAAATGTAGAGACAAAAATATATTTAGCTTATTTTTTTTTTTTTCTTTTAATAGGCATACTCAGAAAATGGCAGCTTATATTTTATGGAACTGTTAGTAATCCCGTGAGACTTAGAAGACCCGGCCATCAGATTTCCTTCCCATCGTCAGCTCCCGCCTCTTTGAACCCTATTTTCCAAGGAAGTCAAGATTTCTTTTCTGGAGCTTTTAGACATTTACCAAATATCTTTACTGCTGCTGGGTCAGAAGCTAAGGTATTACCTTTTCTTTTTAATTTAAAATATTTTGTTAATTTAAATTTGGATGTAAAATTATGAAACAGAAACTTCTGAACGAATATAGAAAATTGTATTAACACTTTACTAACACTAACTTTACCTATGACTCATCTTAATTACTTACTTATACTCCATCCTACATTCTAATCATATAACCACAGATCACAATTTTGACTCCCACACATCCCATTACACTATCCAGCAACTTTACGTCTAACTTGGAATCCGCATACAAGACTGAAATGACAAGAAACTATTTGACATTTGTGGCTGCTCCAACATGTACTAGACAAATGCTCTAATCTGCAAATTAATAACAAAACTCATATATATGACAGTAATAAGACCAATTCGGCCTTAGTTCAGCTATGAATCTCAACTAAATCATCCAATCCCTCTCATATGAAATCCTTACAACTCTAAAGCCTTCCTAAAATCCTCAAGATCCTCATTTTGTCACAGATGCAACCATCCATAATGACCTTAATGTTCCATACGTTTCTGATTTGGCCCAATCCAGCCAGATACCTATCCTTCCATAATAAATTTAAGAACCATCTAAATCCTCTTGTTTCTTTTCTCGTCTCCTCTACGATCTCTGATAATCCTCTGAGGCATCTGAAAAGAAGATGACCTCGTGATCTCCTAATGTAGGAATTATATTAGAGTACTACCATTGGATAGTTTCTCTATAAGCCTATAAATGTCATTATATTTCAATCTTATTTTCACATTTACTAGATATATTTTTATTTATTACAGTTTTAAATTTCATTAATAATAAATAAATATTAAAAAAGCTTTACCTAAGAAATTTTTTATTGAAATATATTTTAAAGACAAATGTATTAAAATAAATATGGATTTTTATGAATTCTAATATATTTTTTTTAAAAATCATTTTTAACATTTTTTATTTAGTAGATACAGATTTCAAAATATACTACCATTGATAGGTCTCTAAATCTAATGTTAATAAACAGTTTTATCTTAGCAACATATTGTATAATTCTGTTGATTATTTACGTTCAATTATATAATATTATGATCATTTATTTTTCACTATGTTTAAATTTATTTTATTTTTATTAGGCAACAAAAGTGGCAATCGATGGTGTTAATTCAAATATAAATGAGTAAGTTAATTCTGATTATTATATTTTTGTGTAAAACGTTAACCTTAAATATTTATTATTTATTAATATTGGTTTTATATAAATAGACTTTCTGATAATGGTTGCCACGAGAGCTGTAGTACATGCGCTGGACCAGGACAAGATTCCTGCCTTTCTTGTGCTCCCGGTCTCCTCTATGTTACCGATCTTGGGCTATGCCTACAAAGGTGCCCTGATGGATACTTTGAAGGTAAATTATCTTCTTTTAAATATTTTAACTATTTTTTCTAAAACTCGCTATCTATTTTATATATGATTTATCAAAGTCGTTTCTTTATTAAGACATATACTTTACAAGATACAGTTTGATAGAGAAATTTTATTGTTTCCTTGATGACTTGGTTCAACTTTTGCATTGCAGACATAAGCAAGAATGCCTGCATTGGGTGCCAGGGTAATTGTGCCAGCTGCCCGGAAGGCCCTAATATTTGCTCCTCTTGTGATCACCATCTCATTCTGCATAACAATACCTGTATAACTTCCTGTCCAGAAATGACATATGAAACAGATGATTCAATGTAAGCTTTTTCTAGAAAAATAATATAATTTTTACACTGTAATTTTATTTATCAAACACATCTCTTAAAAATATTCTAATTAATAATTTGTGTGTCATAATTCATTTTATTTTAATAATGCTTCTTGACCTAAATTATAGTAGGCATATTAATGTATGTACATTTTATAGGAACTGATAGCAGAAGTACCCAGGCCTTTTTGACCATTTCCTTTCATTTCATGAATTATGAATTGGAATATGTTGAAAATAAAGAAATAATGTCCAATCCAAGATTTCCCTTCCTCTGATCCTTCCTTTCTTCGGGAAATGGTTTGTAACTTCCTAATATTATCCTTATTTTATTCATTTAATGAATTTTTTAAAAGTTTGATCTTACTGTTTTATGCATCTCATTTTGTACAAAAAAAAATTTTAATATTCTTATATCACATTAATTATATCAATAGATTTAAAAAATGGTTTAACTTCATTACATTTACTTGCTTTTAAATTTAAATGCAGTTGAAGAGAAAACTTCATCTCCATAAAATAACGTTTATTTTACAGAACCTAATTTTAATAATAAAAATATTGTTTATTTTATTCTTTTAAATCATTCATAATCACTATTTAGAAAAATAGAAAAATATGAATATATTTCATGACCTACTCATGATTACTAAGCAACAAATGTTCTCAGAAAGTTTAGGATTGTATTATTTAGTCATTATTTTAAAATAGGCAATAGTTATTTGTTTTGTTTTTCCTTCTTTGACAAAGTAAATTGTTGAATGAATGTTTTGAGTTTTACTTATTGTTTCTTTATTGTTCATTGACAATTAAATCTTATAGTTATTGGTTTATTTTTTTTAAATTAATCATGTTTTCATCTTTAAACACAAATTTTTATATCTATTGAATGATTTTTTTTTTCTTTGATAAAAAAAAAATTAATTACTTAAAAATTTAGATTTAAAACAAAAAAATTAAACCTTTATTTGACATTTAATTAAATTTTTCTTAACAATCTATAGAGAATTTTCATTATATTCTGTTGTTTGATTTGGGCTATCATAAGGATGAAACTAAAGTAATTTAAGTGTAGTAAAGTTAATTACTTGTTATCCTATTCCTATTTTCTAACCTTAATCTATTTGTAACAAATTGTCATGTTCCCATTAATTGAACAATTTCTTCATGGTCCATTCTCTGAAAATTGTATTGATGTATTGAAAAGCAGCAATGCATGATTTGTCATTTCAGGTGTGAAAGTTGCCACGAGTCTTGTGAAACATGTACTCGAGGAGGTGAATCTGACTGTGTGACCTGTCCTGGAGGAATTGAGGCAGGAGGAGATGGTTACTGCCCTCCTAATTGCCCTAGCGAATGCTCAGTCTGTGATAAAGATGGGAAATGTCTGGCCTGTAAGACAGGAACTCTGGTGAACGAAGAGACTGGTCTTTGCCCGACAACTTGCAAGCCTGGTTTGTAATAAACAGATTATCAATATATAAAAATAAAGGTTATATATCAACACTACATATTTACTTCACTCAAAATGTCAGTTTCCTCTATTAATTTTAATATATTATACTAATAGCTGTGCATTTAAACAGGTGAGTATATGAATGAACAAGCGTGCGAGCCTTGCACTGATCTCACAAATTGCACAAAATGTCCTTCTGGAACGTTGATTCATAACCGGACGTGTGTTGCAAGTTGTAACAGTGGGTAAGAAATTTAATTTTATGTAGAATGATTTTAGTTTTAAAGTTTTAGGACAAATTATTTGTAATATCTATAGACTATGAGCATAACAGGAGAACCTTGTGGGGAGAGCTTAGGTAAAATTTAATTATTTTTAAAAAAATCACTACATAACTTTTAATGAACAGATTAAACACATTTTATTCAATAATTTGTCAGTATTTTGAGTTATCAAACTTGAAAGCCAGTCCAGCTATTCACTTAAAAAATTGTTACATACCTACAAGTGGTAGGTTATTATTATCAAACTGTTTTACTTTATGATTAACTTGTTTAAAATTTGTCTGTTCTTAATTTAAGGTATTATGTTGATATTGGTTGGTGTCGCCCGTGCGCCAGCCATTGTGCTGCCTGCGTGGGTGGCCGAGAAGACGAGTGTGTTATTTGCGAGAAAGGATATTTATTATCCCATGGTGTATGCCTTTCCTCTTGTCCAGAAGACACATATGTTTCACCTACTGGATGTTCAAAATGTCATCATTTTTGTACTAGTTGCTCAGGTATTTTGCTCCTTTTAATTTAAATGAACAAAAAATAAATCTGCTTAACATTATAAGTTAATAATAATCAGATATCAATTACTCTGTAACCATCAGTTTTCCAAATATCATTGTGATTATTCATAAATATAATGGAGTTCACCTTAAATTTTATTTTTGTTTGTTTTTTTTTCTTTCCAGGAGAAGGCCCTTATGCTTGCACATCTTGTGCGGTTGGAAGATATTTAGATGCTGCTGAAAAAGTTTGCATGCCATGTCAACCATGTAATTCCACGAATAAATATCAGTGCTGTCATTGTGATCCAGAGACAGGTTTAAATTTTTCTATATTTTCTTACTTAAAATATTTCTTTATTCTTTTAAGTAGAGTAATATTATATTATTATTAATCCTACCTTCTATAGTTCAAACAAGATTAATTGACAGATCAAGGACGAAATTTTGTGGCACCAAGTTGAAACTAACATTTTGATTTTTTCCTAATCCTCCGATATTGCTTACGAATATATTTATATTGAAAGATGATATTGTAATCTTCTAGTTTCTGTCTATATTTGTAAATGTTTTATAAGTAATATCAAAAGTTAGGGCATAAGACAAAATCTCCATTTCAACTTAATACTTCATAAGTTCGCCCTTGGTAGTCCAACTAATCCTAGTCCATCTATAGAATAGTTTTGAAATTTTTAATTGTTTTTTTTTTAATCATAAATTATAATCTATTTATTATGAAATTATAATTTATCTAGGAAAATGTCATATTCCAAGCGGAAAGCGTAGAATGGCAGCAGGAGCAGCCAGAATGGTCGCTATGGAAAGCACCATTCAAGAAGCTGTAGTCCAACCAGAACCTCCTCGGTTTGGCCATGTAACTATGGGAGCTGTCCTCGCGTGTGCTTCAACATTAGTCCTTTTTGCTGTTGTGTTTCTTATCCTCCAGGTACTGTTATTTTTCCATCGGTACTGGCATAATATTATAAATTATTATTCAATATAATATAATCTATTGAAGAAATTTATCATGTGTATACATAAATGGTGATTGATAATGAAATGTCATAAAAAAATAAAATAAAATAAAAAAAATTCTTGCAGCAGATAACATACATTTTGAATAATGTCGTAACATTACCAATATTTCAATGAAGCAGATCAGTGGATTACAATTTCCAAGAACACAATCTCCCATTTTTTTATTCTGTCCATTAGGTGCAAAATAAATAATCCTGCTAGCATATTAATACTATAGAATCCTGATAATTCGTATTGTCAAGGGACTGAAAGTAAAATATGAGTTATTGGGATTTCCAATAATTGGCAGTAAAAATAAAAAAATACAAAATTAATTCAAAAATTCATTATTATAAATCTATAAAGAAGAAAGGTAGAACATTCAAACATGTTTTGTCTGCACTTACACTGCACTGCAACACTTTTCTTCTTTAAAACACATAGAAAAATTAAGAAGGTAATTGTGAAATAATCCTACCTCATCTGCATTAAACATGTTTCTAAGTTGATAATGAGCGATCATATCTTCCAACTTATCCTTTCCACTTACAAAAAACTTCACTAGACACACTCGCACTTTTCCCACTAAGTTCCTTAAATTATATATTATTGAAGGAAGTTAGTTGACTACAAAACAAGGGTGATAAATAGTCAGGATCCAGTCATTTTTAAGGTTTTTATTTGTGCGACACCTTAAAATGACTGCGTCCTGACTATTTATCATCCATAAATTTTATATTGTGTCTTTTTTTGAAACAATCAAACTAATCATCGCTTGCTCAGAACAGAGATTGTTCAGTCCTTCTCAGAGACATTTTCAAAATTAAACTAAAACATATCATCAGATTCAATGAAAAGAGACCACTGTAATCGAAAAAAACAATTCATAGAAATGGTAATCTCTCACTCACTCTCATCTCTTAAAAGGGTTAAGACCCAACTAGATTTTTCTTTTAAAATATAAGAAGTTTAAAATAATATGAAGACAACAATTAATACATATTATTGAGGAGATCAAATTAAGTTATTTTTATATGGATTAGAGAATTAGAAGGATAATTTCATGGGATCATTATATCCATACAAATTATCGGGATTCCACTGTAAGTGGCAAGAGGAGGCAATTGATAGACCAAGTCTGCCAAATAAGATATGTATAGGTTCCTCATCATTCTCCTATATTTGAATGTCAATGATTTGTTGATTGAGAATAAAATCTACAAGACGAGGAATTTTATAATTATATGCTTATCAAGAAAACTACATTCATCCTTAAACTACTAATGTGTATTACAGAAATTTGACAGCATAAAAACTGCTGAACCATTTGTATTTTATTTAGCTTCCAACATTGAGCCAAATCAGATGAGCCGTTTTAAGTATCAGCATGTCTAATTCGTTAGCACGTATGTAAGTGGAAGTAATTTATTAAATTGATAAAACTGAAACTTGACTATTTTGAGACTAGTTCTCAGCATTCCCATAACTTCAGGCCAAGTGAACGAGCCATTTTCAAAATATAGTTATGTTAATGAAAATACATTTGCATTTGCATTGACAAAAATTAGTAGAGATAATTTGATAAAATTGATATGAGACAATCTAATAACAACCCACATAATCGCTAAAATTTTTATCAGAATCGGATTAATGGTAGTAGATGATATACCCGTCTCATCGGTATATTGACTAGACAGACATGGAACCAAATGGATTCCATTTTTCATTTATTTTTTTACAACACCCTACCTCAGCTAAACCTGTTTGGCAGTAGTAGCATATAAAACAATATGCACGTGCCATCCCTGCTAACAAATTTAAGATTGAATGTTGTAATTATTACTATTTAATCAAATTTATTCTTTTATGACTATGATTAAAACATAAAATGCAAGTGAAACTTTTTGAATCTGAAGACAATTTTTTTTTTATTTCCTGTTTGAATACAAAACTTCCTTACCTTCGTTAATGAGGAAGCAAAAATTGATTGATCCAACCATAGAGAAACTATCCCTTGGATCTGTTGACTATAACAATAATAATTAATAATGTATTAAATATATAAAAAACAACAGGATATAAATAATCATTTGAAAAATTGGCTGACTTGTTAGTGTTTGCAATTGACAGTTGTCAAAGTTTTCAGTTATTCTTTTAAGGTTTTTTTATTTCTTGCATCAATTTTCACTCACCCAAACTTGAAAATATATTAACTCCCATATTTTCAAAAATAATAAACATTTGAATTTTTTTTTTTAAACTTATACAAATACATCTATATGTGCAGTGTCTTACGAGGATGGTCTGAAAAGTTTCCAACATAACAAAAATACAAGACATTTTTTCTGATTTTTTTTTTTGATTTTTTAACATAGTCTCCTTGCAACTCTACACACTTCTCCCAGCGATGCTCCAATCTCTATAACCCATCCAAAAAGTACTTGGTATTTTTCTCTGCAAAATAATTGTTCCATGAAGTTGATTGCCTCTTCATTTGATGAAAATCTCTGTCCTCCGAGCGCAATTTTTAGATAAGGGAACACAAAGAAGTCGCTTGGGGCTAGATCTGGTGAGTAAGGCAGATGGTCAAGCAGTTCAAACCGTAATTCGTGGTGCAATGGCAACCGCTGAGGTGTAAGACAGTGCATTGTCTTGGTGACAGGATTTTCTTTTTCTGCAAATGTGGTCGTTTTCCCGCAAGTTCTGCCTTCAGCTTATCAAGTAATGATGCGTAGTATGCTCCTGTAATAGTTTTTTTTTTTTTTTATGATAGTCAATTAAAATAACTCCATGACTATCCCAAAAAACAGCCACCATCACTTTCCCAGGTGAGAAAACAGTTTTTGCAGCCAGTTCCCCCTTTGCAGTCCACTGTGTTTGGACCGTATTTTTGTTTCGGACGTATAACGATGTATCCAATTTTCATCTACAGTAATTAATCGGTGCCAAAACTCTTATTTATTGCTCCTAAACTGCGCCAACAGAGCATTGGAAATGTTCATTCGAACAAATTCCAACAAAAATTCTCTGCTATCTCTCTCACTTTAATTTGGCGGTCGTCTAGCACGATTTGGTGAACTTTAGTGATGTTTTCGTCGGTCCTTGCAGTTTTTGGATGTCCCGAACGTTCATCGTCTCCAAGCTCTTATGGCTACATTTAAATTCAGCTGCCCAAAATGTCTCTACGGTAAATGATGGTGCACGGTCCACATACACAGAATCCAATTCATCTTTGATTTGCGCAGGCGTATTGCCTTTCAAAAACAAATATTTAATGACAGCTCGATACTCGATTTTGTCCATTTTCACAAAAACCCTCACATCAACTCACTCAATCAACTGTCACATAATAACTGCGAGTCCAAAATGGCTGAAACTTTGGTGGGTAATTGTCAACAGATGAATAACGAAATTCACTTGCTTTTATTTACGAGTGCTGCCATCTTCACGTTGCAGTCGGAAACTTTTCAGACCACCCTCGTAAGTTATATTGCTGATCAATAGATATTCCCTGTTTTGTCAAAAGGTGATTTATATAACTTCAAAATTTTTCTTTTGTTCAGCCATTGAGTTCATAGTAAGCTATTCAATCGTATACTATAGTCTTTTATTTACATTTCTGAAACTGTTACATATACAACAAATATTTCAACAGTTAAAAATTTACTTTTTGTGTCTATTCTTAACAAAATTTGCTTGTATGATTTTGTTTTTTAATTAAAAAATTTCTTAATTTCAGAAACGTTCCAAGTCAGCAGAAAGGCTGCGAGGTTACACTAAAGTACCTGTAAGAGAGATGAGATTTACTCCTCTTCCAGAAATACAGAGGCATAGCCGAATACTCTTTAGAGAAGACGATTCAGATGAAGATGAAATAGTTCTCGCCACAAACTCTTAGTCACTACTGCTGTGATATAATTCAAGAGATAAACATTTAATAAAGTGCCTATAAGAGGGTAGACCCATCTATGCTTAGGAAGAGGTGATAGAACGATAAACGATTTAAGAAATTGTGTTTTGGTTTTTAGATTCTTTTTAAAACAGTCATTATTTTTTCAATAAAATTACTTTTAAAAAGACAAACTAAAAATGGGTTTAATACAGTATTTTTCAAATCTAAAGCATTGTTTTATTTTCTTTCTATTCGCCAAAGAACCTCTGCATTTGTTACCGAGTCGATAATTTGTTTACGTATGGCTTAGTATTTAAATTCATTTAATATTACACAAATCTTTTTTTTTTTTTTTTAAGGGTTTGATGGAATGAGATTATTATTTTTTTTTTTACACCATTTATAATCTACTGTCATTCCCTGATAGGTATTTATTTGTATTAGTATATGGAAATTGTCGATACTATTAGACTATAAATTATAACTTTCTTTACCATTAATTATCACTTATAATTTTTAAGTCTTACGATGACACTAGCCTACTGGTCTGCCAAATTCTCACACTCAAGCTTTCGATGTTAGAACAGCAATTCTATAAAAAAGGTAGACAATAATACTCGTAAGATGAAAGAATTAATTAAAATAAAATAATAATTTAAATAAAGGGTTTTTTTTTCTTTAGATTAAGATTTTTTATATAGTTATATTTTTAATTTTAAGATTTAGGTGATTATAGTAGATGATAGCCCTCACAATTATGTACCTAATGAGTTGTTAGCCTGAAGAACAAAATAAGATTAAAGATTGATATGAAATAGATAAACAGTGTGTAAACTTTTTAAATATTCAAAACAGTGACATATAGATTAAAAATATTGTGAAAGATAGGTAAAATTTAATAACAAGCTTTTCAAAAAATAAATATTTATGTCATTCAGAATCAATAATTAACTACATATATATTTGTTTGTGTGTGATGTGTAAGTTTTTCATATAGTACGTATGTTTAAATTCAATGTGTTTAATATGTGGATTGTAAATATGCTATGTATTTTATTTTATGTAACGACCAGAATTTAATGTTTATAATTATACTATGTGATCGCATTGGGTGATATGTAAATATTTGAGTGAAGAATAAATTTTGCGTACACACATATAATATATATGTGAATGTGCGTTATGTATATGTATGTAATGGATGTAGTTTTATATATATACAAATCATATTGTTTATTACTCCTTCCTAACATTATCTTGATTATTTTAAGGGATTTTGCTTTGTTTTATTATTAGTGAATCCTTAATTATTCTTGAAGATAACATTAACATTTGTACCTACATTAAAAAAAAATTCATAATGTGAAAGTACTTTGAAGCTTTATTATACTTTTTTTTTTATTTATAAAGAAAATTAACAAAATTAATCAAATAATATTCAAGTTACTAATATATCATTTACTAATAATAGGTAAATTACTTCCTTGTGATTTATACACATTAAGATCCTGAAATATGTTTGCATTGTATTTATTGTTGTCCGTCCAAGGATAAGATTAAAGTAAAAACAATTAGATCCATTAAATTTTATTGAAATACCCAACATCCCAATATCCTTCAAAGTAATTGATAGATTGGCTACACGCATAAGTGCAAGCAAAGAATTTTTGGAGAGCTTCATAATTTCAAGTCCTGAAAGAGTAGACTAACAATTGAAAAATATAAACCAATCATTAGCTATGATACGAAATGAGGACTGAAGAATATCAGTCACTTTGTTCCTCTTCATTTGTCACCTAATTTTTTTAATTTCAATCATGATATTTTTCCCCTTTTATTTCAATAAAATATTATTAAGTGTGGACCTTTACCTGATAACAAACTGACAGGTTATTATCACAACTATACAAATAAGTTTTTATACAATAAATCTGCAAATTCTGTTTTAATTAGGTTGTATGAATTTTTAATTTATTATGAAATTTAATGAAGAATGTCATTTATAATTGTAATAATCAGTTCATACATGTTCAGTAAATGACAAAAACTATTGCACTGGCTGTCAAAATTTTAATCTATTGTTCCTAATGCGCCTTTTATCTTAAATTGTATCCTAAAATATTATTCTGAAATATAATAATTATTGTAAAATATATTTTCTTGAAAATATTTATGAAGTCAAATTAGGAGCTGGCAATTCAATATATATGTTGCTAAAAGCATTTTCAACTTATTCAATAGGTTGTTTTGAATATTTTTATAAAAATAATCATTGTAAAGGTACTATTTCGCTGGTACTGCTCAAAGTAGCAACCGTGATCAGATACTGCGAACCGTAATTTTTATTTATTTTACTGACACTGCTCACCGCGGCCACCAGCTCCTCTTGATTTAGTATTCAAGTTTGAAATAATTTTAAATAAAACCTTAAATTTAATGGTTTCAATTTGTGTTGGAAGAGGCACAATACATACCATGGCAGAGTTTTGATTTTATTTAATTATTATTTGTCATTTTTTCTGGTATTTATAGATGAATAGCAAGGTTAGATTATGTTTGTTCTATAAAATATTAATAATTATCTAAATGTTATTGTCCACCTTCTAAACAGTGATAGTTTCTTCTATTATTTTGAATATCTCTTCCATAGAAGAAAGAAGATAACAAATTATTATTTTAAGAATTGATGGTATATCTCTGGATTTTAAAATTTATTAATTGTTTTACCATTTTATCATTAAGTAATTAGTATTTATTTTAAGTTAGATTTAGGGACATTTGATTCACCTGTAAAAAACTTGGTGTAATAAAAATTCTTGTTACTTCAATCCTATAAAAATGATTTACTACAGCTTTGTTAAAATTGTAAAAAAAATTTCATTTAATTTTGTCTGACTTTATGAAAAAAAAAAAAAAAAAAAAAAGAAATGATAGATGGCTGTTATCATCAAAACTCTTCTCCGACATGATAAACATTACCTATAACCGCTGTACACTGACAACAGCTTCACTGCTTCAGGAGTGGTAGAAGAGAACAGTATAGACAAGATGTCATACCTTGGCTGCCGAGCAGTACCAATGAAATAGGTTCCTTCCTTTCCACTAAAGCAGTGTTTAACTGCTAGCAATCGGCGTGGTAGGCAGTACCAGAAAAATAGTACCTTTATATGATTAAAACTTTACAATATAAATCTAAGACCTGAATCATTTGATACATGGATTGAGGGATTAAAGGATTAAAAAAAATTGAACAAATGAAAAACTTAATAAAAACAATTTATATAACAAATGACATTATTTACTATTAAAAAAATATTGCATTGCACTCATCACCACTTTACAGTAAGTGGATTAGGATTATACGTAACTGCTTGAAAAGTAGTATGCAAATCACTAGTGGCTGGAAAACATTTGTTGTAGAACTGAAATACCGATTCCGGAGGATCGCGAGCTGGCATTGATCCGTGAAATTCTTGAACAGATTTTAGGTGACCTCTCACTTGCCCACCTCCATTTAAACAACCTAAAAAAACAAAAAAAAAAAAAAAAACCTTAAACAAATGGTGCTAAAAGGAGAATAATCAACTATTTTAGTGAACTTTTTACTAAAAGGAGAAAGCTTATTAAAATATTACTTTAAATTATATCATGTCAATTTAGAATGTAAAATATTGAGAAAAACAATAAAAATTGATCAGCAAAATTAAAATCACTTTACTTTTAATTTATAATTTGTTTTATAAATCTTATTTTTCATGTGGGTATATTATTCTCTATTCTGCATTTGTTATCAGACATGTTTCGTTGTGGATTTTAAAGTTTTGTGCACCTCTATAGCCCCTCAAAATTAAATTGGATTGAATTCGGTATTACATATTGATCATACAATAAAATTATATAAAATGGATAAAAAATTATGATGATACCTGATGGGCATGCCATGATTTCGACATAATCATATTCACATTTTCCTCTTTTAAGTTTGTTAACAGTATTTTGAATATTTTTAAAACCAGTAACAACCGCAGCTTTCAATTGCTTGCCATCCTCATTGTCACGTTGTGCCACTACAATATCAGATCTCCTAAAATAATAATAAGAACAAATTGGTGTAATGGATAAAATATGTTATAAGGATCAAAATTAAACAAACAAAGCTCCTCTAGTTTTTATATAATTTTAATTATATTTTGAATGTAAGATTTTCTCCAGGCAAATATACCTCTGTATTTCATGAGAAATATTTGCTATTTTGAAAACTTTATAGTTTATGATACTAATATGATAACTTGATAATATTTACTAACATTATTAGCAGGGTCTGGATTTTTATACAGTAAAAAAACACAAAATATGCCATATAATAAGCAGTAAAAAACTATCAAATATGCAGTGAAAAAATCTTTAATAATAAGCAATAAAACTTCTAAAATATTTAATTACACTAATATGCCAACAAAACATTTGGAACTAAAAAACAAAATAATAAAACAAGGAAGAATTAAAAATAAAATAAAATAATTTTTTTTTTTTTTTACCAAAATAAATAAAATGTAGAGAATAGTTGGGGTGGTCAGTCAAAAAAGAAGGCAAAAATAAATGATAATATTTATTTTTACATATGCCGACGTTTCGACCTGAATTTCAGGCCTTCATCACTGACTGACCACCCCACTATTCTTATCACTATTATTTATCACTATCACTGACCACCCCAACTATTCTTCTCTTCATTATCCACGACAGTCAACCATTTACCAATTATAAATAAAATGTAATGTGAAAACCTCACTCCTCCAATTCTCAGGAATTGAAATTGACCAATACCGAATGAATTGGTGAATCAACCGATTCTGAGTAAATCTACTATTTCTGAGCGAATCAACCAATTCCAATTGAATCATGATTCTTTCATGTAAATCATTTGAGATTAATATTCTTTCAGAGGAATTGACGAGAATTCAATTCTCGATTCACCTGCCCATCTCCATTCGACATCCTCTTGATCTAGTTGATCCCTTGATGATGAAATACAGACATTTCTTTCACTTAGGTGTGCGTTTCTCTTTGACAAGATTATATTTCAAAAACGTCTTATATCGTACATTTTATTCTCAAACAATAAGTATGGTCATAGAAATGGTGAGGAGTCTTTATTGATCCAACTTGGTAGAACGTTTAATTGTTTTTTCTATCACAATTTTTATTTTATTTCTGCCATAAATGTAGATTTATTTAAAAATAATTAAATTTATTTATTTATTTCTAACAATGGAGGGCTTCTCAACGTCTAACATATCGTTTTATTTCATACACAACATTTATATTACTCTCAACAATAAACTTGAAAGTGTAAATTAACTTCACCAATAAATTTGAAAGTAGAAAATAGTATAACATTAAAATTTCCAAAAAAGTAAAAGTAAAAAGTAAATTTTGTAATGTAATTGCATTTTTTTTAGAAATAAAAACAAATTTTTTTTGCATTGTTGGTGGCTTTTTTCAAAATATCAGCAATATTATTCTTCAACTCTACTTCATTCCAATGTAATTCATAGCCATAACACTAAATATAGGTAGAATTATACGAAATTAAGAATAATTTTAGAAATTGTATGATAAAAAATAGAAATAATTTTATCTGATAGGCTTAAAAAACTGCTAACACATTTTTGTTTATTTAAAATCACACCATAAAAGCACAATCATGAATCATCTCTCACATCATATATGCACAGAAAATATTAAACATTTCACACTTTCTAAATCACCCCAACCAAATAGAGTAATCTCTGTCACTCTCCAATGATTCCATAACAGGAGAATTAAGATCACACAGCCATGAAAATAAAAACATCAAATTTGTTTGATATTCCGACATTCAGCTGATAAGCTGTTCTTAAGGGACGACAGTCCCAAGATAATAAAAGTATCTTTATTTCATTTCATTTTAAAGCAGTATGAATAAATTAATTTTACATATCTTACTAACTTCACAGATTCAAAAGATGGCACATATTCTTGAGAAGGAGGTTTAGCAGTCTTCATGACGTGATAAGCATAGCCACCAGAGCCAGAACCAAGAGCCTTAGCCAGCGGAGGGTACGCCGGCAAGCCATCCCAAGGCCAGTCCACTTCTGCCCCCAACTCCTCAGCGAGGCCGTTTGGGCAAAGCTCTGCCAAGGCAACCTCCATTTCAACTACCACATAAGTCATAAAGAAGAAATTAATTAATAAATGTACCAATACTTCACATAACAGGGGAGAGGGGAGGGAGAGACTCGGGCAGTATGGCAAAACAATATTTCAGTAGCATTAAGAAATAATCAGTATATTCAATAAAAAGGAGGAAAAAACTGCAAAAATACAATATTTTGATTTAAATAATAAAACAAAACATAATAATACTATGTAATTCAAGCAATTTAGAGAAGAAATGTTTGAAGTTAATTACCTGGAGTTATGACGCAGTTCACATCAGGTATTGAATTTTCACTGAATTGAGGCCTTGATGCTTCAAGTTTCTTATCGTAGCAAGGCATAAAACAAATATGATAGATTTCTTTTCCAGATAACTAAAAACAAATATTGCCACTAGAAAGATATCAAGAAATATGATAAAAGAAAATCTTAATCATGAAAATGACTACTAACTCCTCTTTGAGTTGAAAGAACGTTTTTCACCAGAAATCCCATAATCTGCTGAGGAGATTTACATGTGCTCAAATGTGGAAGTAACTGTGGCTTGGTTTTTTCAGCATAGCAAACCCAACCTGTATTTAATAAAATATAAGATATAATTAAGTATTGTAAATTAGAGTTACTCGGAGCCAATATGTTATTGGAGCTCAACAAAAGACATTTTCAATCACAACTTGGTCTCTAATTATGAAAATATAGGAAAATTTTTAATCTATATAACAGGTAGCAGCATTAGTGCTATGTCCTGTGGGACTTAACCAAGTTTTCAATACTCTTTTTGGTTTGGGTGCAAGTAATCCCCTAAGGTGCATGTAGCTGCAAGTTAAGGTACTTTGAAAAATACATATTTTGTTCTTTCAAAAACATATATTAAGGTATTTAGCGTATCACCAAAATTTGCTATCTTATAAAAAATTTGATACAAGGCAATAACATTCCTTTAAACACAGCAAAGGTCTACAAATGCTTCAGTGCGAAGCTAGAGCAAAAAAAAAATCTATGAACTTATTTCAGGAATCAACCAATGATCCCTTTCATATTACCATAATGTAGGGAACTCTAAAATAGGGAAACCTTGCAGAGAGCCTCCAATGGGTTAGAGGAGAAACCTGGCAGTTAGAAGTAATTCTGGTCAAATTAGTTTCTTTTATAATTGCTTGTCAAGAAATAGTACTACCTCATCAACTACTGTATTTTCATACCCTTATAGAGTAATGAGCTCAAAACCAATCAGGGATTGTAGTAGTACACTTACACATTACGAGTACCAACTTTATAGAGGCTGGATTTGCCCCAGGAGGGTCTCCCGGCCCCAGGGTCCACCTACGGCTGATGAAAAATTACTAGTCATTAGCTGGATTTGAACCTGGGACCTTGACCTTGAGCTCTGAAAGTCAGTGCTCACCCACTGAGCTACCCCACTCTCATATATATATGTATATAGTGAATGCATCACACAACTTTCACTTACCACCCAACTCATTAGAAATTAGTTTTTAAAAAGTTAACAAATCTTAAGAATATTACTTTAGATATAAATACAAACATAAGACAATTAACAATAGCTGCTTGGTAATGACTCTAATTTAATGTCAAAATACTACCAGAATTCAGAAAGATATATCAAAGGATTTATAACTGCTATGATAAAGCCAGTTCTAATATATGGCTGTGAGACCTGGACACTCATCAGCACCCTAGAAAAAAGTGTTGAAAGATTTGAGAAGTTGAGAGTTGAACGATAACTGGAGGGATCTGGAATCAGAGTACTAACACAGAAAGAAGAAAGACCAATAAAGAACTGCTAACAGAAACTGGTCAATCAATATCCCATGATATATGATGGCACGAAAGTTAAGATGAGCCGGGCATGTAGGTCTTAGTAATTCATCTGGAAGCCTCTATGTAACAATGAGTGCCTCAATAGAAGGCAAAAGACCACATGGAAGGCCAAAAAGCAGATGGATAGATAGAATCAACAAAGATGCAACAGAGAGAAATAGCCCAAGACAGTCAGAGATCGAGCAGGCTTATTAAGGCGGTAAAAGGTCTACATGGTCTGTAATGCCAATAAAAAAAAATAAAAAAATATATATATATCATAGAATTAACAATTAATTAACTTGATTTATTGAGAAAAAAAATAATCATACCGGGACAAGTAGATGCTAACATTGGTAATGCAGTTTTATCGCCATCTTTGGCTCTTAAATATCGATCATTAAATTCCTTTGATTCTTCGACAAGAGCTAAGTCTTCAGCTAATCCCATATCCAGAACAAGATCCACACCCAAGCGTTTCACAAACCCTAAAAAAATGTTTAAAAAATAACAATTAAGGGACAAAAAATACATTAAATTAATTACTATCAACTCAATAAAATACACTACCAGTAAATTTTCTGAGACAATCATCAGGTTTCAAATTAGAATGTGAAGACATAGAAAGCAAAGCTTGCAAAGAAAGTGACATCACAACCAGTTCATATCCTTCCTAAATTAATGAATACATGATAACTAAATTAAGAAGAAATAGATGCATATCATGTCTGACAAACAAAAATTGTCTTTACATGAAACAGTAATATCTAATATGTTACCTCCTTTTTGTTTGTAATGATCCTTAACATTTCATGGTGACTTTGTTGATTGATAAGTACAGTTTCCGCTGTGGTAATACAACCACTGCAAGCCAAACAATCTGTCAAAGATATGTCCACCCTAGTCAACTTAGATTTCTGTCCCGTCTAAGAAAACAAGTTATATTAATTAAATAATCATGCTTAATTCAATAATTAAAATCTACAGAGATGGATAAATAATTGACTGATCAATTATATGGATGAAACAAAATCTATAAACACAAGAAAAACTTCAAAAGTAAATGACAATTCAAAGTAGATTCGACACAGTCCTCCTTAAGGACTGGTTCACAGTGGTACACTGCCTCTCCCCTTATACCACGCCAAGAAAAAAATAAGCAGTTTTCAATGGGAATGAACAATATAATTTTTAAAAAATTACTTAAAAAAATATATTTACTTAAAATTTAGTATGAATCAGCTGATTCTGCCTAAAATATGGAATTTCTTATACAAAAATTAGTTTTAGACAGCATTGGGGAAGTATAATATTTATTGCCATATAAACATCAATTGATTATATCTTAATATAACAAAGAATAATTGGGAACGATAAGAAAAGTAAAGAGATATGTGGTTGATTCCTGATTAAAATATTTCTTATTATATACGATTTTGTTTTTGTTAGAACATAGTGAGTTTAGCAGAAATTAAGAAATTTATTTGATACATCACTTGACATTTAGTAATAAACCACAAAATTTTTAATGCAAAAAATATATCGATAGTCAATCTCACAGAAGAGCAATCTTTATAGTTTCAAGTGAAAAAAATATTTAAGATTTGATCTGTAATTCCTTACTTATTAATAGAATTCAGTTCTTTGATTATTGGTTTATTTGTATATGTATTTGATGTCCTCATAAAACATTTATGCAAAGAATAGACATTTTTCAACCCTTATCAAAATTGTTACTCACATTTGTAAAATTGACCATTGATATGTTGTAGCAGCAGAAATTTATGAAAAATTATAAATAGATGGATAGACACTACTTTTCCAATCATATGCATTAGCCCTAACATTATTAATACCAACTTGTAAACCTCAAAAAGTACTGTCACATTATACAAACACTCCGTCAAAATTAAGACTTTGAAATATTTGAATTTTACAAAATCATCTGTTTTTTCATTATAAAGAAAGTTCTGAAGTGTAAAATAAACATTTTTAAACTGGACAGAAACAAGTTTTATTAAAATAAATTACAATATTTTTTTTAATTTACATTTAATAAGACGTATTGTCCCACTCTAGATTGAATGACTGCTTCCACTCATCTTGGCATACTTCTAAAAAGATTTTGAAGAAAATCTTGGGGTATATTGTCCCACTCCTCTGATACAGCTGCCTTTAGCAATTCAAGGGCAGAAGGAGGTGAATCTCATGACCGAACGTTTCTTTTGAGATAATCCCAAATGTGCTCGATTGGGTTAAGATCAGGACTTTTTGCTGGCCAATCAAAGGTGTGGATATTTGTGGTGTTCAGATACTCAGGAACATTTATTGCCTCAGGAATCATACATGAACAACGATTCAGAGCTTATGTATGGCATATAAGGCACTACATGATCTTGAAGAATCATTTTTTGTTTCCTCCCCTTCCTCGCCGTTAAGGATATACGGGGTTTTCCCGGGCCAGGGAGTGTGGGCGGGAATTTAAAAGACTCCCTCGGCACCAGGATGCGAACTCGTGACTACTTTTTTTATCATTTGATTGATATATCAGGCGGTGCTGTGCACACATGTTAGACCATTCGGCCACCCCGCCCACTCATTCATTTCTACCTACTTCAAAGCATTCAAGGCCCCTCCTTGGATTGGCACTAACTGGTACGTGGCTCCAAAGATATGCTGCCCCAGAACATGATAAGACTCCTTTACCTTCTCGCCTTCTCCCAAATGACTCAGTTTTTAATGTGCCAGGACTGATTATACCGTTCACCAAACTCTTTCACGGCCATCCGGTCTGTTAAGGGCCATTCTCATCTCATCAGTGAATAAAACTTTTTAAAATTCCTCCACAGTCCAAGATATATAATATTACAAAGATTTTCTGTTCAACACATACAATTGGTAAAGCTCCATATTTTATCATAAATTTTAAAGTAACAATTTCATTAATAAGTGATCAGCTTGCCCCACTGGAAAATATAATTTATCTATTTTAATTTTAATTTTATAATCTTAATTTCAATTTTATAATTTATATGTTTCAATACCAGTTAAAAAGCAATATAATTTATTAAATTTGTAATCATGTCCTCCAAGTGTTCTCTGTCTAGAAAATCTTAAACAAGTTTATTCCAGCATCTTGGCTAGTTACCCAAAAACGTATTTAGAAATTTATATGACTTCGTTGACAGTAATAAATATATACATATTTAGGAGTACACAAACCAAGAAAAGTAAACAGAACATGATAAGGTGCTTTAGGATCTATTACTAATCTTGCTGCCTGTAGAGATTAAGAATGATAACTATAGTTTCGTAACAAGAGAACTATAAATAATTAAAAACCTACTTTTACAGACTTTAAGTAACCCTCTACTAGGTTCTAGAAGCCCCAATGAACATTATGACTTTAAGAAGACATATTTTCTAAAAGAGAAACCATTTATTCACACAAAATCAAAGTCAACCACAGAAAAAAATCACATTAAACTCTGATCACTTGCTACAATATATAGGGTTTTTTGTTTTGCTTTTTCTAATTAAAAATCAATTTTTTTTTTTTTTAATATTTGAGGTAGCAGATGTCAAAAACTGAAGTTTATATTAAGCTATAATAAGCACTACTTTTTAGACAATTTCAAATGTTTAACACTATTACAGTTTGAAACAGATTGGAGATACTGATTTCTACCTATTGGCTTGTTAAAGAAGTCAATTTCTGAGGGTTTTAATAGTTTAAACAAACCATAGACGTTGTCCTGTGGGTTTTACGCCTTTAAACATCAACAAATTCCCTACGGTCATTGTCAGCGGTGATCCTAATATTAACAATACTGCTTTTTCAATTTTTTATATAAGCAATCAATAGCCACAGATGATGAAATCATTAGATTACAGACTGCTACAATCTTTTGAATCAATCTATGAAACTGCATTCTAGGAAACCAAACTAAAATTTAGTCAACAAAGATGTATAATGAGCCAAAGGTCTAAATTTCCAATAAAATAATACAGCAATTTAAAAGGTGAGCTATCAAATTAAACAAATTTGAAAAGAGTATCACTGTTGACATTTTTACCTAAATAACACTAAAGTGGGCTCTATCTATCATTTCAATGACTAAGAAGGGATACCTTTATTTACAAAATGACTGCCGAACACTATGTACATAAAAATATTTAAAAATCTCTCAAGTCTTTTATGTATTTATCATTACTATAAAGCAAAATGTCCTTTTTTTTTAGTTTATCAACTTTCATATGATACCATTATTCACACAGCAGTATTGCCCTCACTTATAAATATAAGGTCTCACCAGTTGATAGGGTGTAGTATCATGATGTAAATGACATCTAAACATGAAATCAGTTTTTTTTTTTTTGCAGTTAACTAGATCACTAACCATCAACTTGATTCTATAATACTGGTCATGGTATATCATTAACACTCAAAAATCAATAGCTAAGTTAAATTACAAAATAAATAATATTTACTGGATCAACATGGACATATGAGCCATCATCTTCTATTTTAATTTTTGCTCCAGTCCCTTTCGATGTCTTCTTTATTTCGACTGGTTTAATACATTCCTAGAATAAAGATAAATCAGCAATACAAATATGATATGTTATAATATAATAAACTGTAAGTAGAAAATATGAATTACTTGGGATGGTGTAATAAAATCATCTAAATCTGTAAGCTGTAAGACACCACTGAATCTAGGTTCCATTAAAAAAATAATAAATAAATAATAGGAAAACAAAAAAGAATAGAACAATGTTTAAAAAAAAATTCTTAGCCCAATAGTGAACGAAGCTAAATTCAAAAGATAACCCCTATCAACAGGAATACTCTCATCAACCTCATTTGACAGTTGAAGTAACAATGAGAAAGGTTATACTTTGAATAAGGACAAGTTCCTAAACTCAGCGCTGAGATCATTGATTATTATCGAAAATCCAACAATGGATAAGTCCTTAGTTTTGGAACTTCCCTTAACAATGATGGTCTATTTCAAACGCTTAAGAAATTTCTTATGAATATTTAATATTCATACTAGAAAAATGGGATTCGAAGAAGCGGGAGCTCCCTGAGCATCTTGTCCCGGGGAAAACTAGCTCATTCTTGCATAGTGGGCCAAAAAAAATTATTTTTGGCAAAGATCTCCTAACAAAAATATTGGTATTATGTAACTATTTTTTAAATTAAAATTATATAAATTGACCTCCACATACGGTTTAACCACCTAGGAAAGGACTCCTTAACCATTAAATATATAATTTTGTTATTATTGACCATTTAAGGGTTCTACATAAAGAACATAATATGTTCCGGCACTAGCGGATCCAGGATTTAATTTTGGGGGGACTTCGGTCCGAATTTTTTTTTCTCATAAAAATAACGATAATTACTTTGGAAAAAAAGAAAGAAACTGACTACCTATATGAAATGGTGTTTAAATGATTCCTAAAGTCCATTTAAATGTAATTACACGAACAGTAATACTTTAAGAAATAATTTTTTAATATTTTTTTCCATAAAACATGGTTATATTTTACTATTTCGGGGGCAGGAGGAGGGTTTTGGCTCCAAAGCTACCTCCCTCCCCGAAGACCCCCCTGTGCGGCGATATAATATTTTCCATCTGCTGTCCGTATCAAGAAAAATGAAATAAATAGTTTGGTGTAGCAGTAATGGTGCTGTTAGTTCAGTTAGATAATTGTGTTTCCCAAAATTTGTGAAATGTCTAATTGTCTAATGAAACACATTAGACACCAATGAAACACAAACGCTTTACCCTAAATAGGAATATTTACTGGTAGGTAGCTTTGATATACATGGAAGGTATCATAAGAGGAAGTACTTTTTAATATGTTAGTAGATTTTAACACCTACTAAATCTAATGAGAAGTTAAAATAAGTTTTAAAACTTTATATGTTTGTTAATTTTTTTTTATTACATTTCTTATGATATTTATTAATCGCAGCTACCATCGAGCTACCTGTCAGTGTGTACAAGAAAATTACATTTCGTACAGTATTTGATTGCTATATTTCTATTTTATTAAAACTGTGCTCTTTGCTTTCATTAATCTACTTCTTTGGTAAGGCTGCCAGAGCATTCTACAGGATGCTATATTAACTTATGTTTGTTTTTGTTTTGAAACAGAAAAATTTGTCGCGGGATAATAATTACACCAGTGAATTTAGATTGCGGTGAATAATTGTTTCCACTTGGAACTAAGTATATATTAATTTAGTTACTATTCATTGCACCTTTTATGTGTTGCTTCTTTCTTTATGTTTTATTTTATTTTTCAATGTGCACATTATTAGGATTATGTCTAGTTGGATTACTTAATTAAGTAATTATTCAGATATTTGTAAATTTTGAAATTGGATGGTTCTACTAAAATCAGTAAAGTTCTTGAACTTATTTAATGTACAATATAAATACAAATAACCACAATATTAATGGAGTTTTTCCATTGGTTAGGGTATGAAATCAAACATTTACATCCAAATTAGTCTTTACAAATATTAATTAATTGTCAATTTTTTTGCTCAGTTTTATAAAATGAGTTATTCTTTACTTAGTTGTCTATTTTAAACCATAAATAAATAATGTTTGTCTCATGTTTTTTCTTTAGTCCCTTTGGCCTCTACTTTGATTAGAAATGCTAATTACTTTAGAATAATTTTATAAATACCTGACCTGTTATTCAGTCTGCTTAGAGAATGTGTTTTCTTATATATTTTCATGCTTAACAAAATAGTGTTGAGAATTGACTTTCTTATTTAATTTTATTCAACTTAATATTTTAGTACTTATAACTATGTCTAAATAATACTAACTGGTTTTCAAACAATTATCCACTGAATTTTTAATATTATGTTTCAAAGAATTTTTGTAAATACCATATAAATTCATTTATATATTATATAGATCATGTTTATATAGAACACCATATTTGCAATAAGTCAGATATTATCTTAGTTCTTGAAAATATCAGTACTTTCCACAATGATGAGTACGAATGCTCAATTTTTATTTGTTTTACACAGCCGATGAGTATTAATGATGTGTATGGCCTTAGGTTTTCTGATATTGTCCAGTTACAGGCAAAATTGGTTGACCATGATGTTTTTGAAGATGAGGTTGAAAGTTATCTACTTGTACAAATTAACAATTAGTAATTGTAATTGTCAAATTAACAATTAGTAATTAATGGTAAATTCACAATATTTTCAACACTGAGTGAGGGATGAATTTGTAAATTCAATATTAATGGACAAATAGTTATTAAGATCCTTATCTAAGCAAAGAGATTCAGCTGATGAATTTTACTGCTTACCTGATGGTATATGGATGAATCATACAGATTATACTTCGAAAAAACTGTGACATGAATAACAGTACTTTTTTTTCGTAACTTGAAAAATTAAGGATTTTTGTACATATTTCAATATTTTTTGTTAATTGTATTAAAAGTCTTATACACATTTTATTGTCCCCTTCAATTGTCTGCAGTGTTTTGGGTACAGTAGAAATTTTCAAAAGAAAGAGGAGAGCTCAAAGGAAAATCATATTATACTTTGTCATGGCTATGAATGAAATTAAATCAATTCTCTGACATTTTTTAACTTCTTGTCTTTATTGTGAATTGGTGTATACCTTTGCTTCACATCACAAAGTGATGGGAAAGTCACTTATCAGGGCAATTGATTTTTATTTTTCTTGTCTGATAAATATAGTCTGAGTTACTTTTTTTTAGATAGTTATAAAATTTAGACATTAGGTATCCATAAAAAAAAAAATCTGTTTATAGAAACATGGTCAGCCAGGGGTGCCCATTGTCCATGGGATCTGTATCTTACTCCCCTCCTAAGATATTTTACTGCACTGATCTTAAAAACAGTGCAATTGAAAATATAATTTAAAAAAAAAAGATGTGATCATATATAACCACACTTTCTGCAGTATGTTCCGTTTTATCCTTGTCCTCAAGTTTGAAACATATTTCAAAAATAAGCCCCTCCCTCAAACATTTTGATGACACAACTTGCACCATGGGATTTCCTTATGGTCAGCCACCTAAAATTCTTGTGTTATATAAATGTTCATGCCTTACCATTTTTCAAAAAGTGACTTGTTATGGTTTGCTGTTTCGGTGCTCCTCTTAGTTGTGAACTTAAAATTAAAACTAGTGCTGGTCTTAGACATTTGGCGCCCGCGTATGGCATACAATGACATCATACCCTTCCAAAAAATTTAATTTAATTCTTGAATTGTTATTTATTAAATGTTTTAATTTTATTTCATTCAATATGTCTCTGATCCTGATGCTTTATTTATAGGTTAAAATTAACTATTCTCATACACTTTGTGACTTTTTTTTATTCCTAACAAATAGCAGACAATTGCCCATCTCTAAGGCCGGCACTGATTACAACTAGTTATATCAATTTGAAGGATATCAAAATAAATATTTATAAAGCTTATACCCTTCAGGTATTATTTTTCGACTTGGTTAAACTTTATCCTAACATTTTAAAACTTTGAATGTGTTTAATTGGAGTTTTTATTAAACCATTTCAAAATACATTTTGTTTATGAATTCTTATAACATTTTGCTAAATTTCACCTATAATATTTATTCTTTTAATTACAAACATAATGAAATTATTGATAAATATTTTAGGTTCATAGATGGGAAGAAGAAAAAGTAAAAGGAAACCTCCTCCAAAAAGGAAGGCAATAGAACCTTTGGATACTCAGTTCAACTGCCCATTCTGTAATCATGAAAAGTCTTGTGAAGTTAAAATGTAAGTTTAGTTTTTAATCTAGACTGTTTGCTGTTCTAAATCTATAATGATTTCTTAAAACAATTCAAACGATTGAAGTTTTATATGCTCTGTTGTTGGCCATTACATTAAATAAAATTTGTCTGCTATAGAGAGATGTACATCTTACATAAATTGGAAGTAAAAATGATTTTAAAAAATAGTAAAAATTAGCCCACTATAATTCTATTTCATCAGTCATACATCTTGAAAATGAAGTAATTTATTCGTTTAAAAACTTTTTTTTAAATTTTACAATTTAAATATATTTGTATGAGAAATAATACATTTTTTAATTATAAAAGTGCACATACAAAACATGAACTTCATTTCTTTATATAAAAAATAAAATTTCAAATTGCCTAGAATCATAATCTGTAATTTTTGTTTGAATTTTTTGGTGCATAGCTATTTTGTTTTCCAAATTGGTTTGAATCAATAAAATCAACACAACTCTTTTAATGTCTCCCTTAAATATTTTTCCAAGCCTACTAATTTGTGTTAAAACTTCTTCATCATTAGGGAATCACAAGGCTAAAGATCACAAAAATGTATTATCAGCTCACTAGTGCAATGCAAGTATAATTGTTTTAAATGCTAGTGTGAATTTTGGAGGATTAAGGCATGAGCTTGGCAAAACCAGAAGTTATAGGAAATTGTTTCTTTGCATTAATATTTCATTATTGGGCCTGCGGTTCATCCTATTCTTTTTGTTCTTTAAAATGTCACACTAATATCACTGGGCAACAAAAAACAAATTTTTGAATGTTTCCAGCACTTCATGAGTCAATTCTTACTAATTTTGGGTTGAGAAAAACAAATACGACAATGAAAAATTTTTCTTAGCCCTATTTTCTGTGATATACACTAGGTGGAAGTATTTCATATTAACGGGCTAAGAGAAAAAGATAAATTTCAATTACATATGCTAACAACATTGAAAGTGCATTTGATTTTTCAAAATGGTAGTTATATTCTAAGAGTTCTAAATCTGGAAGATGGTCGTGTCTGAAGAGATTATGTGGTGGCATCATGAGATCGTCGTCATTTAGCTGGCCTCTTATAAGGGGGTTCCGGAGCATCCCTACACAAAGACCAACAGTTATCCCCAAGTATTTCTTCATTCCAGTGGCTCTGATATCTTTGTTCCATTACAGAAATGTCCTGATGGAATCTTTCTTCATGTTCATCGCAAACAGCTCCACAACTAGGAGAGAAAACATCTGGGTGGAAGTGGAAAAAATAGATTTTAAGGGACATGTTGCATCCAAGGTTATGGTACTTTTGCAGGAACACTGTCATTGAATGCTTGTAGTTGTCATCTCTTTTGTTGCCTAAAAATCCACGAACAACTCCCTTGAAGGCTTCCTAAGCTTCCTTTTCTTTCCCGTCCAAAACTTGGTCAAATGCAGGATCCTTCACAAGTACTCAAATTTGTGGTCAGATAAAAATGCCTTCCTTAACTTTTGCATCACTTAATTTCGGAAATTTCTCTATTATGTACTTAAAGGCCTGTTCATCTTGGTTCATACCTTTGACAAAATTTTTCATCGAACCCAGCTTGATATGCAGGGGTGGAAGCAGAATATCTTTTGGGTCCACGAGAGGCTTGGCAACGACATTTTTCTCGCTAGGGTTAAGATTTCTTACAGACCAGTCTCCATTAATATAATGCTATTTCCTATCACTACTGTCCCACATACATTCAAAAGTTTATGGCAATGACTTTAAATCACCACAGATTTCCCATTTCTGTTCATGATATTTGAGTGAGTCCAATAGGGCTGTCATGTTTGCATATGTCCTTCATGTGAACTGCATGACCAACAGGAATAGAAGAAAGAAGTTTGTCATTGTGAAGTAACACAGCTTTCAAACTAAGCTTGGAGGAGTCTATGAATAGCCTCCATTCAGTTGGATCATGGTTCAAATTCAAAGATTTCATCAAGCCATTAATGTCGCATCAAACAACAAGGTTATTTTTCTTCTCAAAAAAGAGAAGCAGTTCACTGTGATGTTTTCTATACTGGATTTTGACACCACTTTTGAGAAGATTCCTGTAGTCAAGACCCAAGAATTTCTGCCTTCTCAATGAAAAAATGAAATGTCACTTTATCTCAAAAGCAAGAGCTAATCTTTCATTTTTATGGTGATTTTTAAATTCAGCAGATGGAAATACATATGAATTGACTATTTTTGAGCCCGAAACATTTTCATTGTTGTCCAGTGTATTTAGTTTTCCCAATAGTTAATTGTGTGGCTGAACAGTCAATCCTCAGCTTTTCTTTTCACATGCACTTATTAATACCATCAATTTTTTACTTTGAAATTTAACCAAAAGGGAGTTGAAATATGAACAATTAAATCTGTAGAACTAGAAACGATATGTAAAGACTATAATCCCTATTTCAAAACCAAATTCCCAATATACATAATTGATCTAAACTACTATAAATTGGATTAATGTTCTCTGAATATGATCATCATTGACTCCATGCTGTCTGCTAGGCAAAATTTTCAATCAAAATCTTTGCCTCAGGCCTGTCTTTCTCCATTATAAAGAATGTATGTAAGTAACATTCATAAAGGTATGCAGAAGTCATTTATACAGTCAAATTATTGAATCATACTGGGATTATAAAATTGTTCGGTATTAGGAAGTAGCCTGCCCTCGGAAGTTTCACTGTATAAATTATATCTATTGCAATCTAATATATATATATATGCAAACAGTAGAAAACTATAAAGAAAATAGGGAAGCGGCCAAGAAACCAAGCAGGAGCAAGAAGAAGATGACAAAAGAAATCTGAAAAAAATTGAGAAGGGGATTACAGCCACTAGTAAGTTTCTCTAAAGACATAGATGGCTTGCTACTTGTTGGACAAAAGAAAATAATTAAAACACTGAGACTCTATTTCAGTGAACTATTTAACACCGACACCGAAGAAATATCAATAGTTAATGAACATGGTAGAGTAGAAGCAGATGCAGATCTAGAACCCCCAGACCCAGAAGATATAGTGGAAGTTATCTCAAACCTAAAAAATAACAAAGCCTCAGAAATTGATGATATTACCGTCGAGATGTTTAAATGTAGGGAAAATATATTGAACCAGGAGATCTATAATATATCTTAGAAATATGAGAAAAGGAAAAAATGTCTGAAGAATGGTATACGGCCATTATAATACCTATACATAAAAAGGGCGATAAACTTTGCTGTCATAATTACCGAGGAGTAACTGACATTATTAACCTTAATTTACAAGATACTTGCCTTTCTGCTATTGAAAAAAGTAATGGTTGGTAATGGTGAAAAAATTATCAGTGTGGATTTCGTTCTGGAAGATCAACGATCGACCATATCTTCACCATTAGGATCATGCTGGAGAAGCACTACTATGAATGGAAATTCAACTTGCACCATATTTTCTGTGACTATAGGAGGCATATGACAGCAACGGAAGAAATGAGCTCTATAAAATCTAAGAACCCTAGGCTGCCTCCTAAAACTCATTAGGATGATAAGAAAGGACCTTACACTACAGTAGGGGCGTAGTCAGGACTCAAGGAGAATTGTCTACAGACTTCACCATACAAAATGGTGTGAGAGACCTGGAGTGGAGTGGAGACCCTTTATCCCCAGTATTATTTAACATGACATTTTAAATAATTATTATATCTCACATGTTCTGACAATTTAGTAATAACAAGGACAACACCATGTGTAATTTAAAAAGCATAAAAAGAATTTGAAGAGGCAATAACTAAAATAAGTCTCTAAATAAATGAGAAAAAACAAAATACGTGATATCACTCAATAAAGCATGACTGTCTGGTTTCTAATAATTGGAGGACACTGTTTAAAATTTCTTACAAAATTCAAGTACTTCAGCACAATTTTCATGGAAAATAATAAAATAGAAGAAGAGAAAAAAAAACAGAATTCAAAATGACAACAAATGCTATTGAGGACTCAGGAAAATTCTTCTAAATTGAAATGTATCCCAAGAAATGAAATATATAAGAGAAGTGAGAATGTATAAGACTCCTCTGACCAGTTGTGATGTATGCCAGTGAGGCATGAACCTGAAAACAACAGGAGATTTTTGTCAATGCATGGAAAAGGAAAATCCTAAGAAAAATATACATAAAAAAAAAATATATATATATTTATATATTAGGTTGCAATAGGTTTGACTCTGTTTGTATAAGTTAGTAATGTATAAATAATATATTTTCAGTAAAGATTTGTTCTCATCATTACTGTATTGATGAAATTTATTGATCATTTAATTTTTGGTCATCTTGTTTAGACTAAATATCACTAAACTTAATCTATTAACTGACAGAAGTACTTTGTTGTAATGCATTTCTAATTATTTGTTGTATCCATATCTAAACTATATATGGATATAGTTCAAGTGCATTACTTATCATTGTATTATCAGAAATTTCAGCCAAACCAGACAACAAAAATAACTACCTATTTTTGTCTCAAGAGTAATGTTTAAATGGAAATAAGAGTGTGTAAAATTGCTAAATTTAGGAAATATAAATACTAAATTTCAGATGAGTTCTGTTGCCATACCAATGACCTGAACTACAAGTAAAAAAACAGTTCAGCTTGTTGTTTTATCTCAATTCTTCTCTAAAAACTAAATTTTGAAATTCACAAAAATGTAATTGAAAAGGTATAATCACGGGGGTCATAGATAGGGGTCAAATGTTACAATGTACAGTAATTCCAAATTAATACTACATTGTGATTCAATATAAATGAATTTTCATTTCAATCGATGGCATTTCTCAATTTTTTTTTTGTTTGTTTATTTTTGGTTCTTAAAAGATAATTTGACTGATTTTACTTTAGGGATAAAGGAAGGAATAGTGCCAGGATAACTTGCAGAGTATGCCTCGAAGATTTTCAGACAACTATAAATTTCTTATCAGAACCTGTAGATGTCTATAATGATTGGATAGATGCGTGTGAGACTGCAAATTAGTTTTTTATAGTTAAAATATTAAGTAAAGTTTATGATTATTTTGTTGATGTTCATTTTTAATACTGCTGTTTTGTTTATATAATTTTTTTATTATTGTAGTTACTGTTTCTATATTTTAACAGATAGAATTTATGAAAATAGTTTATTTAAATTATATTGAAATTTAACTACTCTTGTAGTTACCAGATTTATATTCATTTTAAATGATAAATTTTAATGTTCACCAAGGAATTATTTATTATGAGTACATATGTATGTATTATGTACTGGCAAAGTGTAATTTTAGATTAATTGTATGATTTTTTTTATTTTTTATTTCTTGGGATAAACCAGATATTAATAATTTGCCTTATTGATGAATTCTTAAAAAACAATTTGCATTATTACTTTTTTCTTTTAGTTTTTCCGTTTAGTCCTTTTTAGAAATTCTGACAATATTACTACGTATTTAATGTTAACTAATAATTTACCTTTTTTTTTTTTAATTGTATCTTATATACGAATGATATATAATTACTAAGTGAAAGATTAAATTCCTTCAAAAATAATATTATACCTCAAGTTGGATTTGAATTAATTTTTAGAATTAATAATTAAAGTTTTAGAATTAGCATGAAAATTCTAGTGAAATATTTAACTGAGGCATCTGATGTGAACGTACTGTTCTATAACTTAATGTTTGTTAAATATCTATGTATAATCAAAGCATATCTTAAGTGTAGAATAAATTTTCCTTTAAATATATATATATTTAGGTATTTCTGTTTTTTTTTTAAACAAAAATATGTGCAATGCTTGTTTTATTTTTTAATCAAATTTTATGTTGTAGAAAATATTTTATTGATGTTGTAACACTTATAAGAGTGTATAATTGTTTATTTTATCAGAAAAAATTGGTTCAAGTAGATTTTTTGGAAGAATTTCATATCATTGCATTAAGTTATGCAAATTGATTTATGTTTTATCAATTTCATGTGTATATGAGTCATGAAATAAATTTTTCTTTTTATTATTTTCTTTTTAATTATTGAACCTGTTGAAAATAAAATTATTGTTGATAACTAAATTGCATGTTTTGTGTTAAATATATGTTTATAAAGATTTTAATTTTTTTGTAATTAATAGTTTCTAAAATTAAACCTTATCGGTCACAAGCTTTTTATACATGATTCTCACTAGGTTGTAGCTTGTTCCAGTAAATAAGCAAAACAATTTTAGTGAAGAGAAGAATAGTTGGGTTGATCAGTCAAATAAGAAGGGAAAAATAAATGATAATATTTATTTTGACATTTGCCGACTTTTCAAAGTGTGGAATGATAAAGTAAACATAATCAAAAAAGGTGACATAAGTATTAAAATGGGAATCTTAAAATAAAATGTAAAACAGAAAAAAAGAAATATGAAGTTATATAAGAAATGGAAATAAATAGTAAAATTAAAATATTGCGAATAGAATAGTTAGATAGAAAATTGAGATATTGTAAAGTCTATCAAGATGTATAAACAACGTATAATATATTAAAGAGTTAAAACAGAGAAAAGGAATGAAAGGAAGGAGGAAAGAAACTGAGAAAGCTGAAATAAGAAAGAGAAAAAGAACACAAACCTGACTCCAAAGGTGTAAATCGGAGCAATGAGCATGGTAGCTAGGGAGCAAGGAGAGAAGAGATGTATAGTGGCATCATCTCTAACGGTTATCTGATGAAGTTTGAACTAAAGTACCGGAAGCGTAAGTAAGGACGAGAGATATATTACTCATAAATATAATGGATAATTAAATGAAAGTTTAATAGAAAGAGGCAATAAAAACAATTTTAGTATTGTAAGAATAACATTTTTGTGTTATCACATGAGAGTTGATTGACTTATGACCGATAAGGGTTAATATCTGCAGTAGCTAAATTCAAATTCTATATAATTTTTAGTTTCGTAGATTTGCAAATAAATAATAATATATATATATATATATAAATTATTTAATAAAAATGTTAATTTATAAAACAAAAGAAAATTTACAATAAAAACAAAATCAATTTTTAATGAAGAAACTTCATCTTTATTTAAGGATTTATTTAATATTAGTGAGATGTCTGTAAATAACAATTATTTGATTTTGATAAATAATTTTACATTATACATAAAATTAAAGCAAATAAATAAAAAAAAATCTGGTACTCGCAAAACACAACTTTCGCTTACCGCTCTACTTTGAATAGAAATTATTTTCTGGCAATGTTGGGAAAATATAAAATCTTTGAGTACATTTTAAGCAGAGTTAAATTTTAAAGCTTACAGATAACAAATCATTAAAATTAAAAAAGTCTATTTATTATATCGATCTATTTATAAGCAATAAAAATCTAATTTCTCCATCTGCTTTTATAAACCACACAACTTCAGTCTCTGAGCCTTTCAGATGATAGAATGACTGATTCCAATTTCAACATTTTTGAGTAATGTCATTTTAGTGATATTTCTAGTTGGAAAAGTTATATGTATACAGGCAGTGATCGAATTGATTCCAGAGTAGGTGATAGCAGTGTTGAAATATAGAACTGTGAATAAAGGTATAAATTTTGCCACGAGAAACATCACTAAAATTAATAATAAAGAATGTTGAAATTGGAGTTAGTCATTCTGTCAACCGGAAGGCTCATGTATGCCTAGAGAGATTTGAAAGTATATCTGAATATTTAACCTGTAAATGATTATGGATTATAGGACTATTAGTTATTAATACTGTTATTTTCCATTGTAAAGTTTACTAAAATGATATGTGAATTTCATTGCCTGCCGTGGATAGGTAAAAAGTTGTCATACTAATTGTAAATGGATAATGTTAGGATTTCACAAAGAGAAAATTCATCAAATTATTCACTAATTTAATTTTCTAAAAGGTTATTTGATGATTTTTTGGAATAAACGGCCAATAGATACCTAATTATTTAAATATAATATCTTATGTAGAGTTAATACTCTATAATAAATATATTTGAGGTTATAAACATATCCATATATGACCTCAAAACATGTATTTTTGTTGAAAACTGAAATTCAAAAATTTTCACTATCACAATACTTACCCTTACTATATATTTCATGCATAGGTAAGTGGAAGTAATACCCTTACTATATATTTTATATACAGGTAAATGAAAGTGATGATTTTTGCAGCCAGTATCCTATAGTTGGTTTTATTTATCTTGTAACAAGACTATTATGAGATATTGTAATGGTAAATAAAAAATTGAAATGTGAATAAATCACTCAGAATACTAATTATTTCTTAATAGATTTAGTTTGTCATTCAATTAATGTTAATTTCTTAAAGGTGGCAGTGCCAACATATTCGATAGGATCACAATTTTTACTTTCATTTATTTATTTATTTGAACTCTACTGTGCCATTGAGGAAATACGGGTTTTGCAGAACTGGGTTGTTACTCATCACTGTATAACAGCCTGCTTCTGCAATGAGACCAATTCTCATATCTTTATTTACTGTTTACGGCCTTATTCCGGCAGCCTCCCTGACGCAGGTCCAATTGCTGAGTTTTCAGCGGGAATATAAGTATCAAGGTCCCCGATTTCCAATAACCAAGGTACACAAAATGGTCAGAGTTTATTGTCTTCTTTTCCTGCATCACAACCCACTTGGTGAGCCAAAGCCTGCTCCAACAAGGATTTTCAGTCTTCTCTATTGCGTGACACTGCCTTCCAATTACTTAAACCAGAAGTTTTCTACAGTCTGTAGCCACACAATCCTCCCAACGAAGCTTGGGACGTCCTGCAGGCCTTGTCACATACACTCGCTCCGACAAAATTTTTAATGGGTTCTCTCTGGTTCATTCTAATAACATGACCAGCCCAGTGGAGACATGCGAATTTGAAGAAGCTGATGATATTGAATGTGTATATTAATAGCTTATCTCAAAAAAAAAAGTATGAAACTAAAATTTTTTATTTAAGATAGTGTATGCCTGGGATGTTACATTTTTTTATTTCTCAACTTTTAGTTAAATATGTTACTCATCATATATATTAATTTTCAAAGTTTGTATAAGTCTGCACACTAACAATACAATTTCAAAATGGACATTGAACAGATAGTAAAAAATTTAAGAAAATTGGAGGAAAAAATTATTGGGTGTATTCACTAACATTCGTAATATTTGAGATCTGTTACTATTCAAATAGTTTCTAAAATAGTAACTATGCAGAAAGTTAGCTTTGATAACTTAACTCCTTTAATTATTTTTAAGTAATTTTCATAGTCTCGTTTCATGGTGTATAACATTTTTTTTTCATTGATTAACGATAATAGACTAAAGTTTCAAATAGGCAGACTCATATTGCTAAACAATGACTGGCTGGTGGTCTTGATGCATTCTTAAGACTACAGATATGAATCTGAATGTTCATAAATTAAAAATTCCATGAAGGCTTTACAGAATAACCTGTTAGAATACTCACAAAATATTTTTAATCCTCCCAAGTATTTTACCTTTTTGCCTCTCTTGATGGCTTAATCTGTCTTCATCTATTATTTGACACATTTGATATCCTGGCGTTGATGAGAGTAGCCACAATCAGTTACCTTGCCTTTATCAAGTTCCAGATTAAACAAGTGTACAACTAACAGAGAGATATAACTAAAAATATTTTACTTGCTCAAGTACTGTAAGTTTTCTTCGAAAAGTTTAAAACATAACTGTATTCATTAATAATGAAATTATTATAAAGCCATCAAATTGAAGATAATTTTTGTCAAATCATTTTTTTTCCCCCCTTTTAAATTAAGGATGTTATTCAGTTAATCAAAAGTATACTTGTCATGCCCTCATTATATATATCAAATGAAAATCCATAAACAAAAAATAAATCTTAGATTCCTAAAAATATATTGATCTATAGTTCGACCATGGTTAGTTAACAACCCAAGGACGAATTCTGTTGGCAAAATGTTGAAACTTATATATTGTTTTTTCCCCGAAATCTCTTATATTACTTACAAAATATATACACATGTTGAAAGATGATGTAATAATCTTCTTATTTATATAAACGTTTTGTAAGTATTATCAGAAGATTTAGGAAAAAAACAAAAAGTGAGTTCAAAATTTGTGTCGAACGAGTTCGCTGCAGGACTACTAACCAATTGTGGTCAAACTATGACTATAACCCTTTTGGTCTTCAGCAGTAAAACAAAAAATATTCATGTGTAACTCCATTTTTTAAAGAACTTTGAGATATCTAGGCATTCTCTGTATGGGGTGATAAATATTCAGGACGTAGTCATTATAATTTTTTGTTTGTTTTATTTGCGCCGACTTTTCAACCCAAACATGTGGGTCATCATCAGGACATGGTTCGAGCACTGAAGGTTTCCAAGTACCCCCGTTGACCTCATTGTTCGAACCACGCCCTGATGATGATGATTGGGTTGAAACGTCGGCACAAATAAAAAAATTTATAATGATTATGTCCTAAATATTTATCACCCATGATATGTAGAATAGTCGACTAGCTTCCTTCAATAATTCTCTGTATGATTTAAATGAATAATTCTGTTTTATAAAATGGATTTAAAAAAATATTCACATGATTGTTTAATTTCTATATATTTAAAAGATGTGAAACGATTTATAAATTATTGAACACATTTAAAAATAAATTTTAAAAACTTTGAATCTACGAATAATTTTATTAATTTCAAATCAATACAATAGTTTGTAAACAAAGTCAAAAGTGCATTATTTAACAACCTAAAACCAAGATATTTAAAGACATATCTTATTTGTACATAAATACATTACTTAAAACCTAATAAAAGTACCTTTATAAAGATAAAAATTAGATTAAAAAACTACGATTACTATATTTTAGAAAATTTATAATATACACAATTAGTACAAAATGTACAAAAGTATAAAATGTTTCTACTATGTTCTATCATTAAATTTTAATGATAAAAGATACAATAATGCTTTAGTCAATTATTTTTCAATAAAT